GTTCCTTTTGATTTGGTGCTTAAAACTTGGTAGTTTTTGGGGCTCTACGAACTAATATCTGCAGAGCATGGAATCTTTGTTCTTGGCTGTACCTCTATTTCTTTAATTATTTGAAAGAAACGATGGGAATAATATCTTTTAGGTTTTCAGCCCTTTGACATCTTTTGTTCAATGCACTTGCGAGGATGTTTGGTTTTTACGCATATTGTTCCATACTTTCGAGCGTGTTTCTCCCATTTCTAACCTTCAATCAAAACTTGCACTTTTGTTGCAACATTGGATTATTACGCTTTAATCTAACAAGAAATGTGGAGCAAGAATTGCCTTAAAAGAACAGCATGAACCGATTTCAAATCGTTTCAGTTCGAAACGGGATGAACAACATGAACCTCTGAGTATCTCATCTGGACAGCATGAACCTTTATGGACTTATCAACTTCAAACCCGACGGGGTGGCGGAAATCAACAGAACCACAAGATTGAAATATATAGACAGAAGCAATGCATGAATGAAGAAAAGTAGACAGATGCATTGCAAGATGCATGAATAAAGAACAAACTCGGAATGACCTCAAATGGATAGTCTCCAAATGAAACAAAAATCGTATGCAGGCATAATTCCCATGCCTTTTGATTTTGGGATGGCAAAGAAAATACCCCATCTAACATTATTTTTTGTCGCCTACACTCGACAAAGGGGGACTCTCCTCAACACTAACATCAGATTTCAAATTCACACCTCATCTAACTACAAATACGTCTTTTAATAAACAAAGAATATGACTGTAAATTCATTATTTTTTGTCGCCTACACTCGACAAAGCGGGACTCTCCTCAACACTAACATCAGATTTCAAATTCACACCTCATCTAACTACATATACGTCTTTTAATAGAGGATGAGAGCAAAACCATCCCCAAATGCAAAAGAAACAATACTCCTGTTTGAAGCCATTTAAGCAACTTCAGCAATCCTATGCTTATTTCCTATGACAAATATTCAGTTCCAAAAAACAACAAAGTCGATGCGGTTGATCACCCAGTGGTTTACACCTTAACAAGCTCGGATGCAGCAGCAACCGGAGGGGGAGCACCGCCAGTTGTTGGCCTGAAAATATACCAATTCACAAAAATTTACCTAACCATTCATTTACATAAACTAATAACAGAACAAATAGTTGCAGGAAGGAATGACTTACAGTCCAACGAAAACTTTGAATGAATCATAGATGCCCCACTGAGCTCCAGTAAGAGTTCCAATCATGACAATACGAAGAGGAAGCCCACGGGTAAAGAGACCGATCACTCCCATCTTCTTGACAGCCTGCACAGCCAGAAATCAAAACAATCAAAACAGAGCAAGGAAGAAGATGTACTACAACAAATCCAGAAACCATAGCACTCACATCACCAACTGTTGCTCCTTTGGCATTGTTGAGGAAGGAGACAAGATTGTCAGCAGGATGAGATACAATAGCACACAATATACCAGCCACGTATCCACCAGCAAAACTTACACCAAGCTGCAAAGAATTGGAGCACTCGCTCTTAGGTCTAGGGATGGCATATTTATACATCATCTCCACAATAGTCTCAAAGGAGGCAAACTTCATCATGGTGTCTGCAAGAAAGAACAAGTAGGTAAGTCATCAGCATACCAAAACAAGAAATACAGATTAAATATCTTGAAAACGCAAGTATGCAAATTCAGCACCTATTGGGCAAGTTTCAGAAACCTCTTAAAGAAAATGTAGCATAAAACAGGCAATTTGCTGAAGATAAATCTAAACATGGCCCACACAAAGCTTCAAGCAAGAAATATTTGTTTTAATAAATGACAACAGAAGGCTACACCGAAGGGCTCAAATCCCAATTAAGAAGTAAACATGGATCATAAGATTATATCTAAAACAAAACAACATAAATATGGCTATTTTTGTGGCCGGAAAATTCATGCAATCTACCTAAAGCTAGAAAAATGCAACAATATCATGACCTCAATTGCTTATTGCGCAAACAATCCATGTAATTTGCAGAAGCATGGAGGATGATGAGATATAAAACAACTTACAAACTTCAAAATAGTAAACATGACATAGAAGTAGTATTCAAAAGTTCAAAACTACAGTTTTTAAGTTTGTGGTTACCAATTGCATCTCTAAACTTATCGCTTTCATGTTTAAAGGGGGTTCCCTATATGGTGCATCAGGGTACAATAGAATAATCCTTTCAAATCATATGCAGTTCACATGAGTATCAGGATAAAGACGGTCATGTATTCAAATCTTTCCAACTTACACGGAATTTGACGTCCCCATAGTGGAACAATACCCTTGTACAATCTGAAATTGAAAATTATTCACACGTTAATCTTAGCGACGGTAATTTAGTTTGAAACTGAAAGCAACAAAACATGCATCTGTGTCTAATCATAAATATTACAACAATGATGCAGTACAACTTACCCAAGAGCACCTTCTGATCTGACAAACTTAGGAAGTCCATCTGAAAAACCTCTAGCAAATCCAGGCTGAGTTTGCACACGGACCTTGACTGCCTCAAAGGGGCAAAGAGCAACATCAGCAATGACCTCAGCAGATGCAGAACCAGCAAGGTAGATCAAGGTCTTGTACTTGGCAGCAAACTCTGGTCCAGCAAGGTCAGAGTAGTACTTCTTGAAATATTCATAGAATCCATACTTGCAGGCACCCTGAGCACTGTAACCAAGGAGGGTAGGCACCCATCCCCTGAAAAAGCCCTTAACCCCCTGCTCCTTTAGCAGAACTCCAAAACCAGATGTGATGCTTTTGTATTTTGCGGGATCAATCTGAAAATCGATAAATAATACGCGCATCATCAATCAAATTATCTACCTTCACCATTAAATAAAGTGAGAAATATGTGCACGTTACAAATGTCTCTGATATGAACCAAACAAACATCTTACATTGACAGCCTTACAAAGTAAAATAACAAAATGACGGAATCAATATAGAATGCCAAGCAATCAATCGATACAGAATTAGACTGAAAATCAATAGATCAAAGACTCAAAATATAATAAAACAACATGATCGAGAGGGCACAAATAAAGAATTAAATAAAATCCCTAGAATTGTGAAAATTCGACGGAATTCAGATCCAGTTCAGATCATAATGCAGTGGAAATAAGAACCAAAATATACAAAATTCACAGCCAATATGTGAGCCACGGATAACAAATCACAGACCTGAACAGTCCCAGAACCTAGGAAAGATATCCGAACAAATACATACATACATACACAGATACTTACACAAATGAAATGTTACGAGCAAAATCGAAGAAAAATAGCACAGATCTAATCAGATAAAGGAAGCAATTGTATGATAAGCATAGATAATCAAAATTGAGTCAGAGATAAGAGATCGGGGAAGAAATAGCTAGGGATCTGACCTGCATATTGCACTTGACGAGGTCAAGGGGAGTGACGGCCATGTGAGTGAGACCACAGCAGAGAGTTCCTCCAAAAGTACAGGCAGCGTAGAAGGAAGGCGAGTACATCTCGATCTTCCCCAAGGGCTCCCTGGGCGACGGAATGACGAGGCCCTTCCTGGCGGAGACTCCTTGGACGGTGGCAGTCGGCGTGAAGCCGCCGCTAGGCCTGGCGTAGAGCATCTTCTCCAGCGCGATGGAGGACGAGGAGCTGTAGAGGAAGCTCGGGACCAGAGCCTGACGCGACTGCTTGTCTGAGAGAGCCATGGAAGAGAGAGTGCTTGATTGCTCTGAGATTTGGGAGATGAAGAAGGAGAGAGAGATGGAAACGGAAGAAGAGAGAAAGGTATTCTCTCCCAAACTCTCGCTGCCAGATGCTTTGCTAGAAATGGGGCGCTCCTCTCCTCTCCTCTCTGCCCTTTTTGATTCCGGTTTTTGCTATTCGCCTATTGGTCCGAGGCTAGCTCAACCCTCGCATCATTTCCACGACATGACCCTGTCGACCGCATTTATTTACTATTATACCACTAAGAGTGGCTGACCTTTCGCATTTTTTGGGCCCGGCGGCCATCAAACTAAGGTCTTTTTTCTCTTTCGTTTTTATTTGTTCGGGTGCCAATTTAGGTTTGTTTTGGTCAAAATATCAAAGTAGGCGTTTGAATCGATCTTCAAGGAATGAGGAGCTGTAATTATATGCTGTTTTGATTAATCGAGAAAGTCTCTGGCGACTAGAGACGTGAAAATAAAAATCAACTGAGGTTACAATCACTCTAACTCATGTTTTTTTTTTCCGAATATTTAATTGCATATAGTAATGTATATACGAATTTTTATTTTAATTTTGTATGTGTTAGTGAAAAATCAGAATAATTTCAATATTTAACAAAGTAAACATACGCTTTAGGATAGTAATTTAAGAAGGTGATTTTATACACGTACTTTTTTTTTATCTTTTACATATAAATTATCTCATTTGGTCATTTTTAATTTATTTAGTCTGTTGATAAAAATTAAGAATCTTGCGGAAAAAATGAAAAAAAGGTAACACCGCCCATTTAAGAAACTGGCAGAAAAAGAAAACGCCATAGAAGAGGCATGAATAATGCCAACCCATGGGGAGCTGGATTGGTATATTCGTAGGCATGTGTCGTGAAAATCAATAGATACGGTATTTCCAATTTTGCAAAGGCTAGTCTTTGACTTATCTGTTTTTCTACTTACAATTAACGAATTTTTATCGTTCGAACATTATAATCAAAATTGTTTATTTATTTTTTTCATTATCTAAAATCTTATAGCAAAACATTATTCAATTTAAATATATTTTAGTCATTCATATGTATAAAATAGATTGACAATTAATGATGATACTACTTGTTACTAAAACCGTTGATTGATTTAACATATATGAATGACTAAACGATCTTTAAATTGAATGATTTGTTACACGTATAATCTTTAGCTGATGACAAAGAGATGAACGGTTATGATTGTAATGTTAAAACTTCGTTAATCATCAGCGGAGAACAAGTCCTCCACGGGACACAAGCATCCTTTGGCAAATTGGCAATTCGCAAACGTTACTTTGGTTGCGTAGTCAAAGTATCACACCCTTTTGATTTAGAAAAGAAATATCATTAGTTATTTTCCTTCCCGGTAAATTTCACTACCTTCCACTATATCTACGCACTTTTTCTAAAAAATATGTCCACGGCCCGCAGAAATCAAAATGAAACATATGAAGATTTGAAAAAGAAATGCAAATCGAGCGTTATTTGAAGAACTGAAAGATCAAGGCTACATGTGGATACAGAGTCGATGAAACATATGGTTCGGTTGCTCCACTAGCTTTTCATCTCCACGCCATAGCTCACGAATTCACTTGTGAATCCCTAATGCATAATGCTGAAGTTCTGGTTCACTAAACAAATCCAAAAACATTAGCAGCACCGGAAACAGCAAAGGAATTGTCAAATGTCTGAAGATGCTCGATTAGAGGCTTTGATTCCTATCCTCATTCTACTACTCGGAATCATGTGGTCGATCGAATATGAAAGTGAAAAATGAGGGAGCCCGTTGAGAGGTAGATTCCGGAACTTGGAAACCTTCATCACCTTAATAAGCCATCATCTTTGTAAGCATGCCAAGTATCCCATTGGTAGAGTAGTGATTTGTGGTTCTGTTTCTTGACCAGAATCCTGGTCAAGGCTGATCTATAATTTACTCAGTCTTTTGTTACTCAGAAACAATCTTATCAGAAGTGGCGTTCAGCCTCCCCAAAACTGATTATACGAATGTTAGTCATAACATTCCTATACAGCCATTGCATGCTATATATTGCTCAACACCTTCGAGCCAAATTTGCCTACCAATCGCCATCTTCTGACCGAGCCATCACCAATAATCTCCACAAGAACACAACCCATCCCTGAAGTGATGAAACCGCTTTGAATCTCTGACCACAATTTCCCGATCAACAACCTTTGTAATCAACTTAATAACAGTATGACAATCGGCACAAACTCGGAGATTCTTGATTATCTGAATCGTTGCACCAGGTACAGAATTCATGATTCCGAAGGCAACAGCCAGCTTCTCACTATGTACTCTTAGGACCATTTCCTTCTCTTCCTCATCAACATCATGAAGAACTGAACTGATATTGGGTGCATAGCCAACTTCTTGCAGCTTGATTGTCAGGTTTTCCAGATACTCATAAATCTTCTCGTGCTGAGGATGCTCTCTGTCTTCAACCAAAAATAAATGCACAATACCTCTCAGTTCAACCAAACTGAATCCAGGAGGTTTAACCAACCCACGATTCTTCATCAGTATTCTCATCCTCTCAACATCTTCCCATCTCCCAGCATCGGCATATATATTTGAAAGCAAGATGTAGTACCCACAATTATGAGGGTCGAGCTCAAACAGTTTCCTCGCAGAAATCTCTGCAAATGTCACATTTTTGTGTACCCTGCAAGGCCCAAGAAATGAACCCCAGACTACACAATCTGGCCCAATCCTCATTCCCTTTATTAAATCATAAGCTTTGTTAAGTTCACCGGAACGTCCAAGAAGATCAACCATGCACCCATAGTGCTCAATTCCAGGTTCTACACTGTATTCGTGGCTCATGTTATTAAACCAATACCAACCTTCTTCTAATAGACCAGCATGGCTGCAAGCATTTAGAAGTGACACAAATGTTATGTAATTTGGTTTCACACCTTCTCTTATCATCTTATAGAAGACCTCCAATGCTTCTTTGGCTCGGCCGTGCATTCCATAACCTGCAATCATGGCGGTCCATGTCCTAACATTCTTCTCCTTCATGCAATCAAATGCCTTTCTTGCCAAGTCAACTCTCCCACATTTGCAGTACATGTGGATAGTAGAGGTAGACACTATCACATTCTCTTCCAAGCCCTTTTTCAGAACCTATAAACAAAAAGACCAAAGAATGCATTAGTTATGACTTATGAGAGCCTACAGTAATAACCTATTCCACAGAATGCGATATGATATAAAGGGCTTGCGAGAAATTTGAATACCTGATCATGTATAGACTTCCCAACTAACAGAGGCCCAGCATGCGCACAAGCTAATAACAAAGCAGACAATGTCACCGCATTGTAGCGGATGTCACCATCCTTTGTCATCCCATAGAAGACTTGCCATGCCTCTGAAGATAATCCACTCTGCCCATAAGTTGCAATCATGGAGTTCCAAGAAACCAAATCCTTTTGAGACATTCCATCAAACACCTTTCTAACAAGACCGAGCTCGCCGCATCTGGCATATGCATCCATCAAAGTATTCCCTACCCATAAATCCCCATCGAAACCTCTCTTCACCACCAACCCATGAACACTTTGGGCAAGTCCCTTACTCGATACGCGAGAACAAGCCGACAGAAAATGCCCGGAGGGCTTCGAGGGAGTCGCTGCTGCGGGCCAAGTCGGCAATGACGGAGTTCCAGGAGGCGACATCGTTTTTGTCGACGTATTTGCTGAACCAGTTTGTGAGGTTGGGGTTGTTAACTGTGACCGAATATTGGTGTCTGCTCACGAGACAAAAACTCGATTTTGAAATCTTCATTCATTCATTCATTCTTCTCCCGGGGGATTTTCGTGGCTTTGGATTCCCGCTGAGCAAACAAACTGGTTGCAAATATGAGATCCCTTTGGAGCTGTTGACATGAAAGCTTTTCAGCCGCCCTTGTAAAGTCGTACATTAGTCAACGAAAAGATTGCAAACGTTATGACAGATACGTCCGTCATCCGTTAGTCGCCAATGACGTTGGTTCAATATGTCATGGATAATATGTTAGTTTTAACGTATGAACACCGTGTTATCCAAAATATTCAACAACATCGATACAACATGAACATTCCCAACAGTATGGATTATATGGACTGCACGTCAGTTCTTCAACGTTCTTTCTGGCATAACTAACCAAAATGATCCACAGAATCATGAAAAGTACAGAAACAGCAAATTACAAGCCATACGTTCGTTCCTCATCCTAAACCTGACCTTATTGAGTCTAATAACACCCCTGGCATAATTACAACTGACTCGAGTAGTTACGCAGCATTGGCAAATTTGAAGAGAAACAAGGCAGAAAGCCCTGCACCAAACATTAGAGCACCGCACTGACGGTCGGAGTTGGAGTTAGCGGCGGATGAAACTTTGCCAACAAACTGGCCAGAGCTAGGGACTGGTGCAAATGCATCTGACGCATTAGAAGCTTCATCACTTGGAGAAGGGAAGAAGGACGACATATTGTTACTGGGCGGATTTCCATTTGGTAAAACCGCTGGAGAAGCTGAAATCGTTGGCACCACACTCGATGACCTGCACAGAGCATGTAAATTAGCAAACAAGATGGCTGTGCATAAAATTGCAGAGAATTTACTGACAGACAGAGCCATTAATTTCCACAGATATCTCTGGATTTTAGGCTAGTTGAACTGAACTCTGAACTGGGGGGTTCAACTTCGATGTTCAATGTTTGTGTGTGTGTATGTTTATAAGCACATCAAGATATTGATGAGTGAGTGAGTGTGAGTGTGAGTGCCACTGTTACTGCCTCATCTGTGACTGTCTGTTGTAGTCACGGGATGGACAGCAGCACTTTCAATTCTCTTTTGTTCTTATTTATGGAAAATCAACCTTTTTGTTTTCTCTCTCTCTGTTCTGTTTATTTGCCATAGTAAAGTTAGTTACCAATTAGCTCGTGGTTTAATGCTAGTTGTCTCCGCTTGGTAAGAGAAAGGCTCATAATTGAGTTACGGAAATATATATATATTTGTGATGCGTTTGGAATATTGTAGCTAGGACGTAGCCATAACGTGCTGCATAATGGAATGCCTTATTTTTATGGTTAAAAATTGTTAGGCAATGCGATTTGCAACTGTCGGCTGCAGCTGCCGGCCCCATCCATCTATCATCCATGAATCATGATCCATCCCATGTGAGAATTGTTGGAGTCTGGTGACCACCGTACCTGTGTGTGTCCTGTCTTGTGCCACTTGTTACAGAAGCAGTCCAAAATAACCATGGCCTTTGCCTTTCTCTATACTTTTTTAAAATGTTGACGTGACTTAACCGTGACCACACAAACAAGAGGGGATGAGAAAAGTATGGAGATGGGAGGGCAGACAATCTACCTCCTTGCATATAAGATTCACCCCCGAACAATCATCTAACTATCTAACCCAGCTTCCAATGACTCATTTAGAAGTGTTTTTTGTGAAATTTAGTTTGCTTTTGAAGAAGCACCATATATGTACTTCTTGCAGGAAGCACTTAAAGTGCTTTCACAAGATCCACTTAGATTTTTACTAAAAATTGGTTTCTAAAATATTTTCACAAAAAACGCTTTCATTCATTTAAAAACACTTCTAAACAAACTCTAAAATAACTGAAAGGACTTTGAGTAAAAATGTTATTGAGTTCGAAAAACACTTGAAATGTTTCTTACTGGAAAAAAAAAAGAAAAAAAAAGATGCATATATAAAAAAGGAAAAGAGCATAACCAAAACCCAGCTCAGATTGTTCCAACTGAGATTTAATGTATATAGCTGATAAATATAAAGGGTAATATTGTAAATGTATCTTCTTAGCTGTTAGCTTAGTGGTTAAGATACTATGTTAGTTTGTTGTATATATACACCTAAACTGTAACTTTATTAAAGTGTGAAATGAAATATATTTTATCAAATATGGTATCAATCGCCTTCTCTGTCTAACGACTCTCGTTCTTCGATCCTCCTTTCTCCTGCTTCTTCTTTCTGCGTTCTTGCTCGATTCTTCGCTCGTGGTTGAAGATCGTGGTTGAAGATCGTTGTTAGTGCTCCCTTTCTTCCTCATCTATTTGCCAATGGCATCTCCTTCATCGGAATCGGCCTCTCCAGTTCACCCCCTTCCGACTGGATCTTCGAACCCTAATTCTTCAACTTCTACCTCCATCACAATCCAAAATATTGGATCCATGGTGCCAATCAAGCTCACCACCACCAATTACTTGACTTGGAGTGCTCTCTTTGCTCCAATTTTTCGCCGATACAATCTGACTGGTCACATTGATGGATCTATGGCGGCGCCGGTTCAATTTCTTCTTGATTCCTCAGGAAATCGCATTCTTAATCCTGCTTATGTTTCTTGGTATGAAAATGACCAGAATATTCTCATCTGGCTCAACTCCACGCTCTCGGATTCCCTCATTCCCTACACTGTTGGTGTGAATTCGGCTCGCGATCTTTGGGCGAAATTGGAATCTCGCCTTGCCACGGCCTCTCAGTCTCATATTCATGAGCTACGTTCTCGACTTCGTAATCTTTCCAAAGGAACTTCATCTGCTGCTCAGTATCTCCAGCAAATTGAGGCAATTGCTGATGCTCTTGCCAGTGCCGGCTCTCCGGTTGAAGATTCCGATCTGATCTCTGTCACTCTCCACGGTATTCCCCCTGAGTATGATTCGTTTGTTGATGCTATTCAATTTCGTCTCGGATCTACAACAATTGATGAATTACATGGCTTGCTTCTTAGCAAGGAGATTCAATTAGCCACTCGCAAGAAAAGTATCTCTGAGATGTCCTATTTTCAGGCTCTTCACACTTCTGTTGGCATTCTTCCTCTTCCTGTATCCAGTCTTAACTCTCAGGCTCTTGTGGCTCATTCTCCTTCTACCTTCAATCGTGGAGTGGATCGCTCTCATAATCGCGGTTCTTTCAATCATGGCAATTACCGATCCTCTAACAATCCGAGATCTTTTCCTAATCGTGGCAATAATTCACGTTCTAATCGTGGCGGTCGAAACAATTTTTCTTCCTACACCAAGAAACATCCCTGTCAGATTTGTCATCAGCTTGATCATGAAGCGTGTGATTGTCCTCATCGCCTCAATATGGCTTATGGTGGAAAATCCTCTCCTGCAGCGATGGTTGCTACTGCTTCTTCATCCAATCCTACTTGGATTGTCGATTCTGGAGCAACATCCCACATGACCAACTCCTATTCCACTCTGCAAAATCCTGAAGCATACACAGGTCCAGAACAAGTGTATATTGGTGATGGCAAAGGTTTGCCTATCACTCATTCTGGTTCTACTACTTTGCATACTTCTACTAGTGTTTTCAATCTCCATAAAGTTCTTTATGTGCCTGCTTTGAAACATAACCTTCTCTCTGCAAATCAATTTTTACTTGATAATCACTGTTCCTTGCATCTTTATCCCTCTCACTTCACTGTGAAGGATCTTTCTTCGGGGAGGATGCGTTTTAAAGGACCTGTTCAGCAAGGGTTCTATCCTTTCCATTTTTCCTCATCTGCAACTGGCAATCATAAGGCTCTCACCGCAACTGCCAAAGCTTCTACGGATGTTTGGCATCAAAGATTGGGTCACCCATCTGTCAAGATTCTTCATAAACTTGCTTCTCAATCTTGTATTCCTGTTTTAGCTCATGTAACTAAGTCATTCTGCTCAGATTGTGCATTGGCTAAAAGCTCCAAGCTTCCTTTTGTATTCTCTTCTTGTACAACTAGCAAACCTCTAGAACTTGTCCACACGGATGTTTGGGGACCCTCTCCTCAAACTTCTTCTCAAGGTTTTCGGTATTACATCATTTTTGTGGATGACTTTACTAGGTACTCCTGGTTTTATCCTTTGAAATGCAAATCTGATGTACTGTCCACTTTTATGGAATACAAATCTCTGGTTGAAAATTCTCTGTGTACCAAAATTGTTACTTTAAGATCTGATTCCGGAGGAGAGTACTTGAGCACTAGTTTCTCTCAATTCTTGGCTACTCATGGCATTCATCATCAACTTACCTGCCCCCACACACCTGAACAAAATGGGTGTGCCGAGCGCAAGCATCGTCACTTGGTTGAAACTGCTCGCACTCTTTTGACAGCTTCCAAAGTACCCCACATCTATTGGGTAGAGGCTTTCAACACTGCTATCTATCTTATCAACCGATTGCCTACTACATCCAGACAGTCTCCTTGGGAATCTCTATATCATCGAGCTCCGAATTATGACCTTCTCAAGGTTTTTGGTTGTGCTTGCTTCCCCTGGCTTAAGCCTTATACTTCCTCGAAGCTGGATCCTAAAAGCAGAGCCTGTGTCTTTCTTGGATACAGTTTAAATCACAAGGGCTATAGATGTCTTGACCCTGCAACTCACCGAGTATATATTTCCCGACATGTCATCTTCAATGAATCAAGTTTTCCATTCCATCATATCTCCAACATACCACCTTCACCCTCATCCCTGCCTCCTAGGTCTCCCTCTTCTCTTCCATCAACCCTTACTTTTACTTTTCCTCTTTCTTCTTCCTCTAGTATTCCCCCCTCTTTCCCTCGTTCCCCTTCCATTTTCCCATCCTCCTTCTCCCATCACCCTTCCTCACCTATTCCTTCCAGTCCTGTAATGACTGTTCTAGATTCTGTTCCTTCCACTTCTCTTCAACCTTCTAACACCCATCCAATGCAAACTCGGTCCAAATCTGGTATTTTCAAACCCAAATCTCTCACTGCTACTAAGCACCCTCTTCCCTCTCATCTCTCAGTGGATTACATCCCTAATGACACGCCCCGACCCTGATATTCTTTCGAATATCAGGATAGACACGTGCTGGCCGACACCCAAGGTGACGAAAGCCATTAATTGATTACAAGAGCAATGATTAGAAGAAAATATTCATGAATAACATCAGAGTTTAGAATTAATTAACAACATTCAAGAAAATGTCTAGAGTGAACCAGACACAGACTAAAACCAGTTTTACAAAAAGGAAAGACTATTACAAGATGTCACACAAGTGGGTGATAGAGTGCTACTGGTAGGGAAATGCCTCGTACGTCCAGTCGTAATCCTCGTTACTATGACCTGAATGGGGGCGCAAAAACAAAGGTGAGTGGACCAAGGTCATATATATAATAATAACAAAACAGTTATCAAGATACTAACCCCCAAAGTTTATATAAATGAAAACTACTAGCATAATAAGTGATGGATTTAATAAAAATCCTAGCATGCCACAATATTTCAAAAGTCACATCGCGGAAACGCATCGCGGAAATCAAAACAGTAAATGCATCATAAATCGTCTCGTAAATGCGGTGTGCTGCTAGAAAGATCACTGAATAAATATAACTCCCGGCCCAGTGCCTGCACCTCAGTCTCTGTGCCCGTAGCCAGAGATAACTCCCTCCCGGCCCAATGCCTGTCTCCATGTCCCTCAGCCTTTCGCTAGGGATTATTTCTCCCGGCCCACATGCCAACACCAGATCCTCGCCCCAGGCGGCATAGTGTCTACTAGGTACGCACAAATATTTACGTCTCTCATAAATACCACTTCATAGTATAGGTTACCGAATATCGTCTACGCTATAAAGAGGGTTCAAAATCATGTTCTAGTATCCTATCGTCACCTATCAGATAGTCTACTAGATCATGGTTTTTTATAGAAAAATAGATATATATTAAAATATAGCTCAATATAGGCTAACAATTAACTCCTCACTAAAACACACGAGACGATAACCAATATATTAAATTATCCGGCTTCACATAAATAAATCAAATCATAAATCTGTAGGCATGCTAATCATTTATGCATCAAATCATGTAATTGTAGAAGGGGTCCACTCACAAATATTCCTTAGCAGGCGAGTCGTGCGAATAAGGATATAGAATTTCTCCACTAGCAATTTTACCTAAGAACAAGAATGTAATAAATAATTAAAATGATTTTCTAAAAGATTGGTTTTGAATTAAATTAAATAAGGGATTTGGGATTGGATGGGTTTAGGGTTTTAAATGGGTTTTAGGAACCTAGGGCTTTAGGATTTAAAAGGATTTAGGATGGGAATAAATTAGGGTTTGGGCTTTAGCCCAAACATACCTAATAAAACACACACACACACACAACTTGCACGGGCCCAAGGCCCTTAGGCCTTACTAACAGAAACAGGGCTTTAAGCCCTTAGGACCTAACCGGCCCAAGGCCCTTCAACATTAAGGCCCGTGGCCTTTTGGGCTTTAAAAACTAGAACTAAAAATAAAAAGGGAATGGGTTAGGGTACTGGGTTTAAACAAAACGGGCCGGAGGCCCGCGAAGGAGATGGGAGAGGCCGGTTGGCCTGTGGCTTGCCGAGAGAGAAGGCCGGAGCTGCTACAGCTCCGGTCACCTGAAAACTGGAGCTTCAAGCTCCGATCTAGGTACGAACGTGAAGTACAAGAAGAGAGGAGAAGGTTTATACCTTCCAAACGTCACAACTCGGTCGGAGGTGATCGGGAAAGCTCTCGGGGTGCACAGGATCACCGGAAAAGTGGGTGTGCTCATCCACGACCGTTCCGAAGCAAAAACCTACGTAAAAAGGTAAGGTTCAAGCTTCTAAATCACAACCAAACCAAGAACTAGGTACGAGAGTGAGAGATTTGAGACCTACCCGACAGGAAAAATGGAGAAAACTCGCCGGAGCTTTGCTCCGTGCCGTCGGTCTCGCGGTGCAGGGATCCCTGGTTCGCTACAGGCCTCTCCTGGGAATGCTAGGGTCCTCGCGAGTCAGGGGGAAGAGATATGAGAGAGGTTGAGAGTGAGAGAGAGCTTCGGGAGAGCTGAGGGGGAGAGAAGAAGAAGAAGAAGGAGTCACGGGGGTGGGGGACAGGGAAAAGAAAAGAATGAGGGTTTGATGATTGACACGTGGCACAAGGGGGTGGAAATAACAAGTTTTCTAATTATTTTGGGGGGTGGTCGTAACAATCTACCCCCCTTACAAAAAAATTTCGTCCTCGAAATTACATATACCTGAAAAGAAAGGGATACTGGTTCTGCATTGATTCCTCTGTCTCCCAAGTAGCTTCTTCGATCGCATGGTTCCTCCACAGTACCTTTACCAAATGAATAACCTTGTTCCGCAACACTTTATCCTGCCTGTCAATGATAGCCACTGGTTCCTCTACATAGCTAACATCCGGATTCACTTCCAATGGCTCAACTTGGATGATATGAGAAGGATCCGGTACATATTTCCGAAGCATGGAAACATGGAAAACGTTATGGATCTGCGACAACTCCGGTGGTAGCTCCAACCTATAAGCAACTGCACCAATTCTCTCAATAATCTGATAAGGGCCAACATATCGAGGACTCAGCTTTCCTCGCTTACCGAAACGAACCACACCCTTCCAAGGAGATAACTTCAAAAACACATAATCGCCCACTGCATACTCACGATCCTTGGAGTGTTTGTCCGCAATACTTTTCTGTCGATCCTGAGCTGCTTTCAAGTTCGCCTTAATCAAACGGATATTAGCGTTGGTGGTATCCACAATCTCTGGTCCTACCAACGGCCTTTCTCCTGCCTCTGTCCAACATAATGGCGTCTTACACGCCTTCCCGTAAAGTGCTTCAAAAGGCGCCATACCAATACTCGAGTGATAACTATTATTATAAGCGAACTCCACCAGTGGTAAATAGTTATCCCAACTACCTTTCCACTGCAATACAGACACTCTCAACATGTCTTCTAAAGTCTGAATTGTCCGCTCGGACTGACCATCAGTTTGTGGATGATAAGCAGTGCTGAACAGTAATTGAGTACCCATAGCGGCATTAAAGGCTTTCCAAAACCTTGAAGTAAATCTGGGATCTATGTCTGACACAATAGAGACGGGTACACCATGCAGACGAACAATATTATCCACAAATAACTTCGCCAATTTCTCCAGTGAGTAGGTCTGTCGAACTGGCAAGAAATGAGCGGTCTTGGTAAGTCGATCGACAATTACCCATATACCATCACACCTTGACGGTGTTCTAGGCAGCCCGTATACAAAGTCCATAGTGATATCCTCCCACTTCCAAACTGGTATTGGAAGGTTCTGCATCAATCCCCCAGGTCTCTGCCTGTCTGCTTTAACCTGCTGACAAATTAGACATCTGCTCACATACTCTGCTACATCCCGTTTCATCCCTTCCCAGTAATAGAAAGGGTAAATGGTGCGATACAATTTAGTACTCCCTGGATGCATAGCATAAGCTGAAGTATGAGCCTCATCAAGAATTTCCCTCTTAACCGCTTCATTATCTTTAGGCACGAACAAACGGTTTCCTTTCACTAACACTCCGTCCTCACGGATGCTGAACAGATCATTATCTCCTTTCAACACTTGTGCCTTTAATGCGTTGCATTCAGGATCAAGTTCCTGGGCTTCTAGGACCATATCCACAAAAATAGGTCTAACCTGAAAATGTGCTAGCCACGCTCCATGTTTACCCGGTTCCAAATTAACACCCATTTCCCGAAGAGAAAACAGTAATGGAACGTGCATGGTCTGAAGTGACGCAAGCTGCTCGTGATGTTTCCTACTAAGAGCATCAGCCACGGCATTTGCATGCCCAGGGTGGTACTCGATCGAACAGTCATAATCACTGATAAGTTCCATCCACCTTCTCTGCCTCAAATTCAGCTCCTTCTTGGTGAACACATACTTAAGACTTTTATGATCCGTAAAAATACGACATTTCTCTCCATACAAGTAGTGTCTCCAAATCTTCAAAGCGAAAATCACCGCTCCTAACTCCAGATCATGAGTAGGATAATTCCTTTCATGAGTTTTGAGTTGTCTGGAAGCGTAGGCAATAACCTTTCCATGCTGCATCAGTACACACCCAAAACCTGATAGAGAAGCATCAGTATACACCTCAAATTCACCACTGTCATCCGGAAGAGCGAGAACAGGTGCTTGAGTGAGGCGTTGCTTAAGCTCCTGAAAACTTTGCTCACAATTTTCATCCCACACAAACTTAACACCCTTACGAGTCAACTTAGTAAGAGGTAGAGCAATTGCAGAAAAATTCTGAATAAATCTTCGATAATACCCTGCCAAACCCAGAAAACTTCTTATTTCAGTAACACTCTTTGGTTGTTCCCAGTTAGATACTGCTGATACCTTTTGGGGATCCACACAAATTCCTTCAGCAGAAACTATGTGGCCAAGAAAACCAACCTGAGTCAACCAAAACTGGCACTTACTGAATTTGGCATAAAGCTGGTCATCCCTCAAACATTTTAGCACTAGCCTCAAATGCTTTCTGTGCTCCCTCGCACTTTTAGAGTAAATTAAAATGTCATCAATGAACACAATTACAAACTGATCCAGATACGGTCTAAAGACTCTGTTCATCAAATCCATAAATGCTGCAGGTGCATTTGTCAATCCGAAAGGCATGACACGAAATTCATAATGCCCATACCTTGTACGGAAAGCAGTTTTCGGGACATCATCCTCTCGAATCCTCAACTGATGGTAACCCGATCGAAGATCAATTTTAGAAAATACCTGGGCACCTTTCAACTGATCAAATAAATCATCAATCCGAGGTAGAGGGTAACAATTCTTCACCGTCACCTGATTCAGTTGCCTATAATCGATACAGAGCCTCATTGATCCATCCTTCTTTTTCACAAAAAGAACTGGAGCTCCCCACGGGGAAGTACTCGGCTGGATGTAACCCTTGTCCACCAATTCCTGTAGTTGAATCTTCAATTCTCTCAACTCCGCTGGTGCCATACGATAAGGTGCCAAGGAAATAGGATTAGTACCTGGGAGTAAATCGATAGTGAACTCAATTTCCCTCGCAGGTGGTAATCCCGGTAAATCATCAGGAAATACATCAACGAAGTCCCTTACTACTGGTACATCTTCAGGACGCAATGAAGGTTCATCATTCACCACTATGTGGGCTAGAAATCCCACACAACCCTTATTCAGCAATCTTGTTGCTCGAATGGCAGAAATAATACTATTAGGGAGGACACGTCGTTCACCTGTTATTGTCACTGCTGGAAGTCCCGGTCGATTGAACGTCACCGTTTTCTCCCAACATGCGACATTCGCTCGGTGCTTAGACAACCAATCCATTCCCAGAATGACATCAAACTCCGCCAATTTGAAAGGAATTAAATCAACCTCTAAGTTCTCCCCTTCCACAATCACTGGACAATTCCGATATTGCCATTGAGCACAAAATAATTCACCCCTCGGCATTTGAATCAACATATCAAAACCTAGGGGCTGAGGTTCAGAAGGCATAACCCGAGCAAAAGATGAAGAAACAAAAGACTGCGTAGCACCCGGATCAATTAAAACTCTAGCCCAAGCATTACAGACAGGTAACGTACCGGTAATAACTCGAGGATCCTGATCAGCCTCCTGCTGAGTCATGGCATTTATACGCCCATGAGCCTGAAACCCCGTATTATTGTTTCGACCACCACGACCCCTGGAATTACGTCCTGCTCTGTTCCCCTGACTACTGCTACCAGAAGATGTTCCTGCCTGATGCTGGGTCGAAAACTGCGTACTTCGGCTGTCGCTTCCTCTGAAACTCTGGCTACCTCTGCCACCAAGCTGCGGACCTCTATTTCCCCCGAAGTTCTGATTAGTACTGCTACCATAGCTCTGACTACTACTGCCACTGCCATCATAGCTCTGCCGAGCGCCAACATTCTGAACTGGCTGATATCCACTGTAGTTTGAGCTAGAGGGAAAATTACCAGGTGGTGCAGAAGGACAATCACGAACAAAATGCCCGGTACCACCGCACCTGTGACAAACTACAGTGGTCATCCCACAACTCCCTCGATGACGTAACCCACACTGATTACAGACCGGATAAGTTGGAGTGAAATGACTGAAAGATCGTCTCGCTGACTCGCTGCCTGAGCCTTCACTGGAAGACCCGGAACCCCGACCTGGTCGCTTAAAGGAAAAAGAATGTCTAGGGCCCACAGAACTGGAAGGGCCCGCTACTTCTCTGGTATTCCGCGACCGAATTCCGATTCCTCTGATTCTGACTCCGCTGCCTGCTCTGTCTCGGGGGTTGGATCCAAGTCTGTGGCTGATCCTGCATCTCAGTATCCCACTTAGACTGTTCTATGCTGAGACTTATTTCGATTGCATCCTCATAGGTTCTAGGTCTCTGTGCAGCCACCAGTGTACGGTACTCCTGATTCAGTGCAATTAACGCCTGCTCTAACCGTGACTGAGGATTATCATACGTCCCATCATGGTGTCTAGACAAACGCCTGAAAGTGCTGTCGAACTTTGTAATGCTGAGATCACCCTGTCGGAACTCTAAGTATTCCTGCCTCTTCCTCAATCTGTAGCTGGGGCTTAGAAAATAAGCAATAAAACGTTTTCGGAAGGCAGTCCAGGTCATCCAAGAACCAGGTGGACGGGAATCCCTCGCTGTTCTCCACCAACTTCTAGCATCACCCTGGATGAAGAATCCTGCAGTACTCGCCCACTCATTTAAAGGACACTTCATCGCCTCTAGAGTATCCTCCATTTTCTCCAACCATTGCTCAGCCTCCTGACCATTCCCCACAGTTGTTAAATCAGTAACTCCGTGGCTTCTGGCAATTTCTATATACGACCGATTCGGTCTATGACCCGGAAGGGCATTCATTAAGGCATTAGTAAACTGCTGAAGCCCCCCCATAATAGATGAACGAGGTCGACAAGGCACATTCCCACCAGGATTAGCCATGATTCTGACAAAGACAACAACAATATTTAGAAAGACTGAAATTTACCAAATTGGTGGAAAGAAACCCTAACCATGCTCTGATACCAATCTGACACGCCCCGACCCTGATATTCTTTCGAATATCAGGATAGACACGTGCTGGCCGACACCCAAGGTGACGAAAGCCATTAATTGATTACAAGAGCAATGATTAGAAGAAAATATTCATGAATAACATCAGAGTTTAGAATTAATTAACAACATTCAAGAAAATGTCTAGAGTGAACCAGACACAGACTAAAACCAGTTTTACAAAAAGGAAAGACTATTACAAGATGTCACACAAGTGGGTGATAGAGTGCTACTGGTAGGGAAATGCCTCGTACGTCCAGTCGTAATCCTCGTTACTATGACCTGAATGGGGGCGCAAAAACAAAGGTGAGTGGACCAAGTTCATATATATAATAATAACAAAACAGTTATCAAGATACTAACCCCCAAAGTTTATATAAATGAAAACTAGTAGCATAATAAGTGATGGATTTAATAAAAATCCTAGCATGCCACAATATTTCAAAAGTCACATCGCGGAAACGCATCGCGGAAATCAAAACAGTAAATGCATCATAAATCGTCTCGTAAATGCGGTGTGCTGCTAGAAAGATCACTGAATAAATATAACTCCCGGCCCAGTGCCTGCACCTCAGTCTCTGTGCCCGTAGCCAGAGATAACTCCCTCCCGGCCCAATGCCTGTCTCCATGTCCCTCAGCCTTTCGCTAGGGATTATTTCTCCCGGCCCACATGCCAACACCAGATCCTCGCCCCAGGCGGCATAGTGTCTACTAGGTACGCACAAATATTTACGTCTCTCATAAATACCACTTCATAGTATAGGTTACCGAATATCGTCTACGCTATAAAGAGGGTTCAAAATCATGTTCTAGTATCCTATCGTCACCTATCAGATAGTCTACTAGATCATGGTTTTTATAGAAAATAGATATATATTAAAATATAGCTCAATATAGGCTAACAATTAACTCCTCACTAAAACACGAGACGATAACCAATATATTAAATTATCCGGCTTCACATAAATAAATCAAATCATAAATCTGTAGGCATGCTAATCATTTATGCATCAAATCATGTAATTGTAGAAGGGGTCCACTCACAAATATTCCTTAGCAGGCGAGTCGTGCGAATAAGGATATAGAATTTCTCCACTAGCAATTTTACCTAAGAACAAGAATGTAATAAATAATTAAAATGATTTTCTAAAAGATTGGTTTTGAATTAAATTAAATAAGGGATTTGGGATTGGATGGGTTTAGGGTTTTAAATGGGTTTTAGGAACCTAGGGCTTTAGGATTTAAAAGGATTTAGGATGGGAATAAATTAGGGTTTGGGCTTTAGCCCAAACATACCTAATAAAACACACACACACACACAACTTGCACGGGCCCAAGGCCCTTAGGCCTTACTAACAGAAACAGGGCTTTAAGCCCTTAGGACCTAACCGGCCCAAGGCCCTTCAACATTAAGGCCCGTGGCCTTTTGGGCTTTAAAAACTAGAACTAAAAATAAAAAGGGAATGGGTTAGGGTACTGGGTTTAAACAAAACGGGCCGGAGGCCCGCGAAGGAGATGGGAGAGGCCGGTTGGCCTGTGGCTTGCCGAGAGAGAAGGCCGGAGCTGCTACAGCTCCGGTCACCTGAAAACTGGAGCTTCAAGCTCCGATCTAGGTACGAACGTGAAGTACAAGAAGAGAGGAGAAGGTTTATACCTTCCAAACGTCACAACTCGGTCGGAGGTGATCGGGAAAGCTCTCGGGGTGCACAGGATCACCGGAAAAGTGGGTGTGCTCATCCACGACCGTTCCGAAGCAAAAACCTACGTAAAAAGGTAAGGTTCAAGCTTCTAAATCACAACCAAACCAAGAACTAGGTACGAGAGTGAGAGATTTGAGACCTACCCGACAGGAAAAATGGAGAAAACTCGCCGGAGCTTTGCTCCGTGCCGTCGGTCTCGCGGTGCAGGGATCCCTGGTTCGCTACAGGCCTCTCCTGGGAATGCTAGGGTCCTCGCGAGTCAGGGGGAAGAGATATGAGAGAGGTTGAGAGTGAGAGAGAGCTTCGGGAGAGCTGAGGGGGAGAGAAGAAGAAGAAGAAGGAGTCACGGGGGTGGGGGACAGGGAAAAGAAAAGAATGAGGGTTTGATGATTGACACGTGGCACAAGGGGGTGGAAATAACAAGTTTTCTAATTATTTTGGGGGGTGGTCGTAACACCTAACACCTATCTCCAAGCTTCCAAATATCCTCATTGGTCCCAAGCTATGCAAGAAGAGGTTACTGCTCTCATCAAAACTGGAACTTGGTCTCTCATTCCCCCGTCTCCCTCACAGAATATTGTTGGCTGTAAATGGGTCTTCCGCATCAAACGTAAGCCCGATGGCACTATAGACAGGTACAAAGCTCGGCTCGTTGCCAAGGGCTTCAATCAGCAAGAAGGTTTAGATTATACCGAAACCTTCAGTCCGGTAGCCAAGCCAGTCACCATTCGCCTCATCCTCACTCTTGCGGTTCAGTTCGATTGGTTCTTGAATCAACTAGATGTCAGCAATGCTTTCTTACATGGGACCCTCAATGAATCAGTTTTTATGCAGCAACCTCTTGGATTTGAAGATTCCGCTCACCCATCTCATGTCTGTCACTTGCATCGTTCGTTGTATGGTTTAAAACAAGCTCCGCGGGCTTGGTATGACAAGCTTCATGGTGCTCTCACTTCTCTCGGTTTTGTTGGCTCTCCAGCGACCATTCCTTGTTTATCAAAACGGGTTCAGCTATGATTTTCATTCTGGTTTATGTCGACGACATTTTAGTTACTGGTCCAAACTCTGCTGCCTGTAACCATGTTATTCAGCAACTGAGTTCCCTGTTTCCTATCAAGGATTTGGGTCCGCTGCACTACTTTCTTGGTCTTGAAGTCAAAAGATCTTCTGCTGGTATCTTTCTATCTCAGACTAAATACATATTGGATTTGTTATCCAAGGCCAACATGACTGGCGCCAAACCTTGCAGTACTCCTCTCAGCACCTCCAAACTTGATCATGATTCTCCCTTATGTGACAATGCTTCTGAGTATCGTTCCCTGGTTGGTGCTCTGCAATATCTCACCTGGATCTCAGTTTTGCAGTTAATTAATCTTGTATGCCAATATATGCACACTCCCAAACTTTCCCATCTTCAGGCTGTAAAGCGTATTCTAAGATACCTAAAGGGATCTCTTGATATTGGTCTCTGGTTCTCCAAGTGTTCCACTCCTCCTACTCTCACTGCCTTCTCGGACGCTGATTGGGCTGGCTGTGCTCTTGACCGCCGGTCCACTGGAGGTTACTGTGTCTATTTTGGTAACTCTTTGATTAGCTGGAGTGCTAAGAAGCAACCGACTGTTGCTCGCTCTTCCACCGAAGCAGAGTACCGCTCTCTTGCTAATACTGCATCTGAAATCACCTGGCTCTGTCAATTACTATCGAATATTGGCTACTGCTTACCTACCACTCCTCATCTTTGGTGTGACAATATTTCCGCTATATCTCTAGCTAAAAATCCTGTCTTTCATGCTCGGACAAAGCATGTAGAAATCGACTATCATTACATTCGGGAAAAGGTCCTTGCTAAGCAGATCTCTGTCCATTTTGTCTGCACTCAAGACCAAGTAGCCGATATCTGCACCAAGTCTCTGTCCAAGCTTCGTTTCCTCTTCCTTCGTGACAAACTTCAACTTCGACAACCTAAGTTCAGTTTGCGGGGGGATATAAAGGGTAATATTGTAAATGTATCTTCTTAGCTGTTAGCTTAGTGGTTAAGATACTATGTTAGTTTGTTGTATATATACACCTAAACTGTAACTTTATTAAAGTGTGAAATGAAATATATTTTATCAAATAATAAATGCGTGAGCAAAGTTTATGAATTACGAAATTTCTTCAAAATATACAGGAAATACATGATTCTTCACACCATCTCCTGTAAATGCCACAAATCAAAAGAATCACCCGATACAAGGATCCAACTCCAACAACATTTCATTCTTCTTTTGCGGAGTTGAACAATTCGGAAATAAATATAGCAAATGTAACAACAAATGGCAGGGTATTGCATATTTTATGCAAAAATGTCGTGTTTTGTGACCTACTGATCCCGGGAAATGAAACTTCACTTTCCCATCGTCGGTATAATGTAACAAGTTATGATACTCCAAGTCTCTAACCACTACATAAGCCTGAGGTGTGCGGTATCATTCAACCTCTTTATCTGCCAACCTGTTCTCCATGAATGCTGTAGAACTGTCACAGAAGAGTCTTCTATGCAAATCTTATGCGACATTAATGGGCTGCATCCGAGGATGCCTGTGAGGAGACATTTGATTGGCACTGCATGACTGAATATACCAATACAAGACGCAGAAGAGGAGCTTCTCCCACTTAAATCATGCGGGGAACTTTGGTGAGTGACGTCCTGGGGGGAAATTTCATCCTCAACCTCCTGAATTCCAGTTGTAGTCACAACTTGTAGCCTGCTCTTACCAGACTTTTTCCTCAAGAGACCCTGCCGCTGCCTGTGAAGCAGATCCCAGTTAGGCGGAGGGAGGGAAGGCCCCTCTCGGTCATGAACTGAGTTGGTTGATACATGAGAACTATGGTGTGCAAAGCCTTGACTCTCACTCTGATTGTGTGATGAGAATGAGTAGAATGCTCTCGACTTTTCAGGAAGCCCAAGGACTGTCCCGTTTAAAAAACTAACCATTTGAAATTCCACTTGCCGAAGTGACTCTCCCGATGGTGCAGAGAAATCAGGCTGAACTCTTTCGATGAAGCTCAAAAGTTCAGCTGTGTATATTTCTGACCGAGGGCACCCCTCCCAATCCCCCTGACTCATCTCTGCAAGCGCATCTGAAGATTGTATCTGTCCAACTGGAAAGTTCATTTCCTGCATGATTTATAGCCCGACAAAACTAATTAGATACATGTAAAACGTCTTACACTATACCTTGCATTATCTCTTTAGCTGCTCATATCAGGAAACAATATCTACAAAGCAGTCTATGTCACATCGTCAGCTAAAAGGGGAACCTACTTATATGATTCTTGATGAAGAAGAAAAGGAATCAAAGGGCTGGGGACCTAAAACTTAATGAAGGAGAAGGAGGAGGTGAAGGAAAAGTCAACCAAACGGAACACTATCAAACCTGACCTGAACTTCTAATCCTGAGAATTGTTTTAGTCAAAAAACTCAAGGACATGATATATTCTGCCAAAATGAATTCCAATTATACTCCTACTCATTCTTGGATATTCATAGTTCAGAACACATTACTTGGACTAAGAAGCCATGTCTTAAAAGCTACGAGCCATACAGCTTCTAAACCAGTCAAGTGACCGAGCCAATGAGGGACAGTGACAGTAGTGATGCATATAGCACTTACAGCTTTCATTCTATCACACAAACCAATTAACTCGATGTGACGAAGCTTTTCATCCCAAATATGCGTTGTCAGCTATGCAAATCCTTACATGCACCATGAGTTACCAATTGCAAAATCTACTATAAGCTACCATTTTCCACGGAAGGCTTAAAACGAAAAAAATCATATTCAGCAAGTGGTTAACACACAAATTCACATATCCCTCTCTCACTGATAAGTGAATCTTATCGAATTTCGGACATAAGTAAAACTCCTATAGGCAAAATTCGATGCATAATTCATGGTCAGTTTTCTAAAATTTGCAATGCACAATCAGAATTATAAACTCCAAGTCTTCAACGATATGAAACAATTTCAATTCAAAAATTACCTGACAGACGGAAACCGCCATGGAGCGCGCACGATCCAGAGGAGATGAGTAAACCGCACTGAAGCCAACCCTCTGGGAGTTCAAGAAAACCGCCAGGGCCCTGGCCTGGCGCTTGCCGTTGGGAGTCAGAGCCGCCTGCGGGCACCGTCCGCCCACCAAATCGGGCCTTAAATTCAACTCGCACTCGCCGTGACTAATCAAAAACACCTCCGTGACGAATCGGTCATCCTCCATGCCATTGGACGAGAAGCTCCGGGAGAATCCGGGAGGCGGGGGCAGAGGCGAAGGCGGAGCGAGGACGTTGTAGGGGTCCCACACCTTGATGGAGGGTCCCAGGCGCGGGGTGCCCAAGGTGGAGAGCTGAGGGGAGAGAGGGGATGCGGATGCATGGCAAAGCATCTCGGGCTCTTGTTCTAGAACCTTCTTGATCAAATCCTTGTCCAATTCCAATCCACTTCGAATGCTGGGCTCGCCATTGATGCCGTTCTCTTCCTCTTCCTCTTCTTCGTCTTCCTCTTCGACCTCTTGTACGGACTGAGTGGCGCCCATCAATCTACACAGAGAGAGAGAGAGAGAAGTGAGATCTGCCGGCGCACTGATTTGTGAAATCAGATCTGCTTCCGCTTCTGCTTCTTGTGTGGTTTGACTTGTTGTACATATGACATCAACACTGTAACTAGTATTGTATTGTAGGAATGTTGGGATGGTTCGGTGTCAATATGAAAACTGGACAGACAATGCTATCCCTCCTGTCCTCCCCCACCAGTTATATGGTAATGGTATCCCAGTCAATGTCAATACAACTGCCGCTTTTTTCCTCTTTCCCTTCCTAACATTCACACGAAACACAGAAATTACTGTTATCCAAGCTCAACTGTTGAAGAATCACTTCAACCATCAAGTATGTTCAAAGGAATTGGACTACCGGACCTAAACTCATTGGTTAAGTCTTCGTGATCGGCCCACTTAGTGAACGGCCCGTTTATTATTATCATTTTTGTTTCAAATGGAAACGGTCCAGTCCAAAGGGACTTCACTTGATGATAAGAGCGCATGATTCTCCTTCATTTGTTCCAAATGAAACATGTTTTAAGTTTGAATTTACTCATCCCATATCCCTCATGTGGTCCGTGATCGTCAAGCTTAGGCTATCCAAACTCTTTCATCGTATCTCTTTTAATCATAAACCATACAAAATAAAGCTTGGCGTTGATGCTTACTCCACCTAAGCCTAGCTAGTTAGACTAGTATCCTAGAATAGAGAATATATATATTCGGATTAGCTAGTACGCGAGAAATTTTGTAGGTCTATCTATGCGTGTCCACCATCAATATTATTATGTGTTAGATTTTATCACAAAATGTTTCAGTGATATTAAAAGTGAAAACTCTTATATATTAATTGTTTACTATTTTAACATTACCGATGTGAGATTCTATATTGCAACAGTACGTATTTTAATTAACACCCATCAATCATTACGGCCTCCATAATCCATATAGTAATAGTATTTATATTCGCACACGAAATACATACAATACATTGATCCACGCATGCATGCATTATACATATGTTGCTCTAGTTGCTAGTGTTGAACTACTTTAATTACTCATGATCATGCATAATTGGGGTTTGTTAATGACAAATTAATCAATTAATTAGTGTTTCATCAATTGTTTGTATGTGTGTACAGAACATGATAAGGTAAGGGCAGTGAGGCCAACAAAAAGAAGGAACATGATGGAATAATTTAAGTTTTGTTTAATAGACAAGAAATATGCAATATCCCGCACTTTGAGATTGTAGCTTCACTCACTTGTCTGATGTTTGTCTCCACAACCTCAACAATCTGCTTAATTATAGCTTAATTGTTCCTTAAATACATATTGAGATCCAATTATATATGTACATCTTTAAACTAATAAATATTACACCATTCTTTTCTTTACGATCATTGCTTTGCTCTCCCTTTTAATTTCTTTTTTCATATTTTACTTCCTATTTTTTGTTAGCTACTGCAGTCTGCAGTACCCTAGCTACATCCTAAGACCCCCCACATTGATTCTTTATAACTCCTAACCATTCATTTCGTATTTCTCATGATCTACTGTGTGTGTTCAACTTCAACATGATATATTTAAGAGAACTTTAACGAAAAGCTCACAGTACTGTTTACTTTAACGAAAAACCACATTTTTACACTAACATTATTCACTTTACCCTTTATTTTGTCTTTATCGTTAAAACTTAAAGTTTTCTAATATTTTTCATTAATTTTCCTTATATTGAAATGTGTATATATACACACAAGCGTATACATATATACATATAATATTATTCGGTACATAACTACATATGATCTACAAAGATTTCTACACACTCCATATTAAACTATGCGTTTGTCATTGCTCTACTTGGAATTTCCCGGCAGGCCGGTGGCAGTGGCCCAAAAGATTGACAAACCAAAGTTGTTTCTTTATGTTTGAAAGCTATTGTTCACTTTTTAGATATGCAATATTATATGAGTGATGCTATATTTGCGGACAATATTTGAGTACTCATTGGTGAGGATTTTATTTTTACTTACACTAATGTATGTGGCCCCGAATTTTATTGTAACATCTGCACCTCTCCAAATTTTCTAAACTAGCAACCAAACATCTAGCTATCTAATTACTACATGCATTCAAATATCCCTTATGAGATTTGACAACCTCTTTCCTCCATTCCTCAGTGAGATTTGACAATATTTTTGGGCACTTGCGGGTAAGTAAAAATTGGGTACTTATCGGTGAGTAGCCAAATATTGTTTTACATTTATCATATTTTTATACTATATTTGTATCGCATTTTTAATAGAGATGAGATTTACAACGCGTGTAGATCACATCTTTATTAGAAATATGATACAAATTAATCTAGTAAGAGTAACATGTTTGATATTATATTTTAAATTATTTTAATTAAAAATTAAAAATTCGAACTTGAATGGCAATAATAGGAGACACTAACCTGATCAATTAGTATAACTCCCATCTATTTTAAAAACTATAACTCGGCTGCCTTGTGCTTTTTTAACTTAGGATCATTAAATACGATAGGTCACATATGTTATAAACCATCTTCAACTTCAACATCAACTCGGTTGGTGCTCTTTCTCTTTGTGCATGAAAACGCGTGTCTACTAGCTCTTCAATTCCAATAGATTCTGGGCCTTGTTTCTGCTACCTTGAGTTCTGCCACTAGTCAAGCAGCTCTTTCCCTCTCTCTCTCTCTTACACACACACACACACTCTCTCTCTCTCTCTCTCTCTCTCTCTCATCCTCAGAATTCATCAGATCTTTGCCGCAGATATGATCAGATCACTAACCAGGTCAGTTTACACCTTATTTACCAATTATACCATATATGCTATTTGACATGAGCTGAAATTCACGGAAACTGATGAGGGATGTATGTGGAATATTTGTTTTATTCTCAGAGAGTTTAAGCTGATCAGCTGCAATGCTTTTCTCTGTAAGCGAGCAAGGCCCTTTTCAACGAGAGGCGCAGCTGGCCATGGAAGGTATGTACCTATATCATATGATCTGCTGGTGTTTTAGCTGCAGATCCATCGATTCCAAAAACATGCATGCATAGTAGATGATATTAATTAATAATTTCCCTTCTTTTGCCCATCTTCTCTTCTCTTGTTAATGGAAATCTCTCCTACGTCGGTACCTTATTCATTGTGACTATTGTCGCACGCATATATAGTTTTTGTGGCATTATTATTTTCTGTCCCAGTACGCAGTAGTACTATATCATTTTAAGTATATACCATGTTATATATATCTGTATGCGAGGATTTATGCAGTACATATGTATAAACGTAACCATCTTGAACAGTTTCTAAGTAAATTATGCATATAACATGGAGTTATGAGTGATCCCATGATTAAATTCATTTCCTAGTAATTAATTTCGGCATATTCCTCTGCTCTCTGCTCTCTTCAATATGATCTGGTTTAGTATATTGAGGTCAACTTGAGTATTTGATTAATAATTATGTTGGCAATGATTAAGATTTACACCCTGCAGCACATGCAATGTTCTCAAGGCTTAAGCTACCCCTGGTTAGATCTAAAGTAACTATTCATACCATTTGTCTTCATTTATACGAAAATAACCTGCATACAACTAGGACACCGTTGCGTCGATATTAAAAATTAATCACGTTTTGTCTTGTATGATCTTTTTCATGTATAACAACGTATAATTGATTTTAAAATACCATTACAATGACTTTTGTTGTAATTATTTTGTTTTTTAACAAATTTGTTGTAGATAAGTTATTCTCCACTTTTACATCATGTTACGTTTCAACCTTGATCATTATCAGGCATCAAATTCAACTCTTTATTCAAAGTTTTACGCACAAATCACACTTTAGATTAATTAATATGAATCAAATTTTGAATGGGGCGGTGTTGCTTTTTTGGGTGATTGCCGGCGTGGAAAAATGATCCACAACTTCGTAATTGAATGATCAATCCGCCCCCAATAATCATTTTCTTAATCGGACGTCGTTTGGCATTTTCAAACGACATGACTGATCTTGTCTTTTCATTGATATTCAACCACGCATGTTGTTCCTTTCTTTTCTTTTCTTTTCATTGCATATTAACGATAATATTAACATTAAGAATCTAATCATCTATTTGCATACTTTCTTTGATAAAAAGCAGGCTGCAAGGCAAGGTAGCCATAATAACAGGGTCAGCTAGCGGGCTTGGGAAAGCCACGGCCCACGAGTTCATCCGACATGGAGCACACGTCATCGTTGCAGACTCAGATTCTGAGCTGGGTCCACAAGTCGCCAAAGAGCTGGGGCCCGCAGCCCACTTTGTCCAATGCGACGTTGCCGTTGAGTCCCAAATAGCAGAAGCTGTAGAAACCGCCATGGCTCGTCACGGAAAACTTGACATAATGTACAACAACGCGGGAATAACAGGCCCAGCGTTCCCGCCCAGCATCGTTGACCTGAACCTTGAGGAGTTTGACCGCGTGATCCGGGTCAACGTGCGGGGCGCGGTTGCTGGGATAAAGCATGCGGCACGAGTCATGATACCTGCGGGCTCAGGCTCCATACTGTGCACATCCAGCATAGCTGGGCTGTTGGGTGGGGTTGGGCCTCACCCCTATTCGATATCGAAATTTACGATACCTGGCCTGGTCAAGTCACTGGCGAGCGAGCTGTGCCGAAACGGGATCCGAGTCAATTGCATTTCGCCAAGTCCAATCCCGACGTCAATGGTGGTGCGGGAAATATGGAAGCTTTATCCGGGGGCGCCGGAGGATCAGGTTAAAGAGATAGTGAATGGGCTGGGAGAGCTCAAGGGTGCGAAGTGTGAGGAGATAGATGTGGCGCAAGCTGCGGTGTATCTGGCATCGGATGAAGCAAAGTATGTGACGGGTCATAATCTGGTGGTCGATGGAGGCTTCACCAGCTTCAAAAGTCTTAGCTTCCCTCCTCCTCCGGGTCAATCTGTGTAATGTAATGCTAGTATATGTCCAGAGTCTAGACTCCAATTAGGTTTAGACTTGTTTTCGCAACAACGTACACAATTACGCACATGCATGTTTCTTTGTTATTTCAAGAAGCTGGATTATGTATGTACTATATAATATCAGGTTGATGAATTGTTTCCCGGGGAACTATAAAATGGTGTAAGTACATACGTGTGTCCATATGCACACACATGATTGATCTAAGTACTACTGATTGCATCTTCGGGCCCTGCATTTAGATGTTGTGCATTTAATTTAACCACATTTTATAGAATCTTTGCCGTCTAAACAATTCAATAACTTAAATGAAGCCACATCAGCTTTGGGATAAATTTGCATATCCAAAGTTAAACGGTGACAGTCCTCCATTCTCCTGATCTCCTCCCTCCCTCTTTCAGGAGAAGCCCTTCCAGATTTCAGAATCCCTAGTGGGGAACAGCCCATTCAGCCGAACCAACATTTAGAGTCGATGAGACTTCACATTTCAGAATATCCTCTTCATAAAATGTTGTTTCTGACTTATGCATTGTGCTTTTTTATTTGCTTCCCATCAAAATCCACAAGCCCTCAAACTCAAAATTACGAATTACGTATGGAGAAATTCTATAGCTTTAGGGATGGGTTATAGAATTGTTAATTACACATATTTTTTAGTTTATATGTTTGAAGTCGGAAACGGGACCCATAGGCCATAGAGAAATAATACAATCAGGTGAACAATTCTCATAATTGTTTCTAATTGATAAAGTACAGTACAGTGTGGATTTGTCAACAAGTGTTCTTGTTTGAAAAGAAAAAGAAACTGAATAGAAATAATCTGTGGGAGGAAGTGAAGAAAGAGAGAGATAGAAGGGGAGGAACTAAACACGAAGGGAGAGAGAAAAGAGATAACGGCCGTATGGGATTAACGTACGTTCGTAAAAGAAAAATAAGTTAAAGATAGAGTAAATGATGTGTAAAATCCTAGGTCATCGGATTGCTTGAATGGCTAAGATTCTATAAAATGCTGATAGATGCATGCCTTTTAATTTGGGATTTTTACTGATTAGTACTTCAATATAGTGTTCGGTTGGTACCTTGTTTGAGTTCACTCCTCAACGTCATATTTTATTGGGACTGATTTGCATAACATAAATAAACCATCATGTGACGACGACGTCGTGTTTCAATTATACAAAATGCATTGTTTTTACATATCGTTGTGTCATTGAAATAAAATGTAACGTAGCTATAAAATACAAGTTGTTTCTCTAATTGCTCAGAGGAAGAGGTGGAGCCATCCACATCGAACAACTGCATATTATTAATAAGAGTGGTCCCGCAGGTCACACAGCTGAGTGTGAATTCACTACGAATGGTATACAATATGCCTGCATGCATGGTCCTGTCTCTAATCTTTTAGCTGTCATGGACCCGCCTGGAGCTTGCAACAAAAAATGAATAACCTTGCACTTTTTTCGTGGTGTTGATGAATCATATATATCAGATAAATTTTCAAAATTTAAACTATCGGAAAATATGGAGACCACAATCACGTAGTAAACAGAACCGCTTTGGACAGGTCTTCGATCGTTAGCACTCTTCAATCTTCAGACTTCACATGTATGCATGTTGATGTCGGCCAAACGGCCAAGTTAAAACTTGGAACATTTTGTATTTATTTTTCCTTATTTGTCTACATTCTAAATTAATTTGTACGTTGGAGACAATTACAATTAATATTTTGGCATTACATGGTTGATATTTTATTTTTGGTCGGAACATGGTGCATATATGATATAATTCTCATCTCACGACTTGGTAGTGAGTTGCATGCATGCCATGTATGTAGCCAATTTATCCACACACTAGTCCACACTGGACTAGTTAGTTTTATTGGCGTTGACGTTGATGTTGTGAATTAAGACTGTTCTAAACGGAAAGTTGGATTTCAATAACACTTAATTAAAGGTGTTTGAATTCTAATTAATTAAGTTAATTTGTCTTACACACATGAACGTTCAACACCCAAACAAAGTTGAAAAGGAAATTGTAGATAGTGAGATTTATTGCGGGGAGTACGTAGGTGCGGTGAATCGCAACGAATCACGAGAACCTTGGGTTCTCCTTTAGAAAATTTATTCCAAGTTAAGTCTTGCTTTCAACTTTGAACTTTTGAACTTTGAAGTTGCATGGCGCAAATGGCAAAACACAACTTAAAGTTGTTTCATTATCTTGGTGCATGTACCTTATTGTATGTGTGTGGAAGTCACAATATGCAATATAATTTCTAAACCATGCCAGCTGTTGAGTAATTCTGATATCATACGGTCACGTAATATTAAGATTTTGTGTATTTAATTTGGTTTTTACTATTTCGTGAGAATTCATTATTAAACTTGTCAAAAAATGGATCACTGATTCTTTTAATAAAACCTAATTTAAAACTTTTTTCCAAAATAAGATGCAAGTAAGATACAAAAAATCTAAAACGAAAATACTTGAAAGAAGAATAATCTTCTAAGTTTATAAACTAGTACTAACAAATTTTTGGTTCGAAAAGACAAAAGCCAAAACCAGTGCTACAAATACAGTTTTCTAATATTTCTCTATCGTAAAATCCAAAAGTCAGAGAATTGGTGTTGATTGCTTGAAGTATTACACGTGAACCAGAAATTGATTGGCTAATTGGGCTTCCGTTAAAATTACTCATCTCGCTTTAGGTAATTGGGTTGGGCCTTTTCTTTTCTTTTGTTTTCTTTTGGGGACCTTGGTAACGCATGTTAATCAGACAGACTCGCCTAATGTAATACAAGGCAACAAACCAAAAGGATGCAACAGCGTGCGAACGCACAGACAAAACGTAACGTTCCAACTTGAACGAAGCCATTTCCATTTCCCAGCTGGAAATAAAGAGGGAACAAAACATTGAGAATCTATATCCCTCCGTTTCTTCTAAAAAAATTGATGACCCAGCTCTGAGCAAAAAGTTCCCCTCCAGGGCCTCCCCTCCTTTTCTGCGTTTTATACCGGACCTTTGTAACTGAACCCTTCCTTTTATTTTGTCTCTTTCAGACAACCTTCAATAAAAATAACAAAAAGCCTGACAAGCGAAGAAAGACGGTCATGCTTCCGATGTCGAGCGGCGCCGCTTGGATGGGCGGAGACGAAGACGACGCAGCGTCTTGGACCAGAAACAGCACCACCACCCACAACAACAACAACAACGAGGCAGAGCCCAGAAGAAACGACCAAGACTCGAGCTTGGGAGCTTCTTTTTCAAACTTCAAATCAATGCTGGAAGGTGACTGGTACATGAACAACGTTCTCAGCAACCCAGCTCAAGACCTCCATGCCTTCTCTTCCACCCAAGCTTCTGAAACTACACTTGCTCCTCTGCAACCAATCGACTCCTCCGCCTCCTGTTCTCCGTCGCCGGCCTTCTCTCTCGACCCTTCACAGCCGCCACAGCAGTTTTTGCCTCCAAAATCCTGCTTCTCCTCTCTCCTCAACGTCGTCTGCTCCAACCCTTTTGATAACAGCTTCGACCTGGGCTGCGACGCTGGGTTTCTGGGCTCCTTTCAGGGAAATCAGCCTTCCAATTCCTCTGTTCTGATGGGTTTCACGGCCCTCAATTCTCATGCTCAAATGGGTACTCCCGAACTCAGTTCGAGCGCCGAGTTTCCAGCCAGTCGGTTGCTTCCGGTAACGGACAACGCCAATGTACTCGACGGCGACTTTGGCTTCGAAGGCTTCGATGGCTCGGCCGGCGCTCAGCTGCTGAACCGGGCTAAGCTCCTGTTCCCTCCCATGGGTGCTCAGCCCACGCTTTTCCAGAAGCGCCGCCAAAACTCTGTAGGCGATGGGGGTGATAAATTGGGAAATTTGGAGATTTCGGGTCCCAGGTACGGAGGACTACTGGAGAGTTTGGAGAAGAAAAGGAAGAGGAACGAGGAGGGTGAGATGGAGGAGGGGAGTCTGGATGTTTCCGGTTTGAATTATGACTCGGATGACTTCAATGAGTACAGTCAAGTGGAGGTGGAGGAGAATGCGAAGAATGGTGGAAGCAATTCGAATGCCAACAGCACTGTCACCGGTGTAGAGGGAGGAGACCGGAGGGCAAGAAGAAGGGTTTGCCGGCCAAAAATTTGATGGCGGAGAGGCGGCGGAGGAAGAAGCTCAATGATAGGCTCTACATGCTTAGGTCTGTTGTACCCAAGATAAGCAAGGTAGTCATTTTCTGTACTATCTATACTTATTAGACATAGTTCTCCATTAATTTATTTTTGCCTTGTTCCTCTGAAGATGTAGTATTTGTGCTTTCCCCGTCTTTTTACGTTAGTTTATGTGAGCTTCTTGTTCTAATTATACTGTGTTTCTTTCGTTTTTCATTTCAACTAGTACTATAAGTATGTGAATTAGCTGAATTTAACAGCTGGATGTGCGCGGAAGAATTACAGTGAATTTAAGCCATTTAGAAGGCAATGTATTCATACTATTGTATTGATGTATAAGAGAAGTACTCGTGCTGTTTTACATCGAATTGGTCGTTTTACTTGAAGGAAGTTAATATTTTGGAAAATCCATGACAGATCTGATGGCTCTTGATATTGCCTGAAGTTTGGCCATTGTTTGGGGGATTTATCTTCTTGTGTGATTTGTGGCTTCTCGCTCATTAGTCATAATACCTGATGAGTATTCTGTCATGTTGTAAACAGATGGATAGGGCGTCCATACTAGGGGATGCAATTGATTATTTGAAAGAGCTTCTACAAAGGATTAATGACCTCCATAACGAGCTGGAGTCAGCTCCACCCGGATCTTTGCTGCCTGCTTCAACAAGTTTTCATCCGTTGACACCCACTCCATCCACCCTTCCCTGCCGTGTTAAAGAAGAGCTCTGCCCAAGCTCCTTGCTAAGCCCCAAAACTCAGCCGAAGGTAAGCTTTATTCACCTGGTTTTGTAGTTTGAAGCATGTATAAGGTGCATAAATTATGATCGAGGATTTTTCTTTAACTTGTAATATTTTGTCAACTGTATTTTGCAGGTGGAGGTTCGGGTAAGGGAAGGGCGAACTGTTAATATCCACATGTTCTGTTCTCGGAGACCAGGTCTCTTGCTCTCTACCATGAGGGCCTTGGATAACCTTGATTTGGACGTCCAGCAGGCTGTGATCAGCTGCTTCAATGGGTTTGCTTTAGATGTGTTCCGAGCTGAGGTATGTTTCTTTTTAGGATAGCGAATTGCTGAGACTGTTTTTACAGTGTACAGTTCTGGATATGAAGCATAAGGGTGAATTGTGTTAACACAAATTAACACACACACACACACACACACACACACACACACATGCATATCTATCTGTTCTGCTTTTTCATTTTTGGTGCTTTTACCTTTTGACATCCAGATCTAATATATAGTATTATCCTGACTATGTGTAAAAATCTTCAATTTTACCATGGGAGATAAGAAAGATGAGTTTGCTATGTTTGCTGCTTCTGAACTTCAACTTTCTATTCTACTGTGTTTGGAAGATAGACTATCAAATAAAGATTTTAATCCCAAAAAGATTACTTGAGGTTGGTCACAAAGTTTGATTGGCATAAAAACTGTTTCGGTTGCATCTGAGCCTTTTTTCCGGGAATGTCATGAAATACAACTTTGGTATTCTTACTGTATCTTTTGCACTAGTAAAGTTTTTGGGTTTTGTGGGGACACACAAAATATAATCCCTTGTATGTTAAACAGCAATGCAGGGAAAACCAGTTCTTGCCAGAGCAAATAAAAGCAGTACTTTTGGATTCAGCTGGGATTTCATGATATGATGATGTAACTGTTACTCGAGCAATACAAATTGGAGCCTTGCAATTGGGAGAAATGAAGGCAGGCAGGCACCCTCAACTCAGCCAGCTAGTTTGTAAATGCAACGGCTTCCTTCTCCTCTCTTTGTTCCATCGATAGAGCCCATAGAGCTTAACTTGAAGAATTTCAGCCGATGATGTCCGTAGATTTAGTTTTTTATCTTCTGTTTTGTTGTAGTGGATTATGTTATGTTGAATCATCAGGCAAAACTGCTCTCTTATCTTCAGTAACTAACTTCAGCTCTTGATGTTAATTTCTTCTCTGTCGTTGTTTACTTGTGCATGCATGAGTAGGCTACAATGTGTGTTTGCGAGTTGTTTTTAATTACAAGCGATGTTACTACTCTAAGTTAGATTAGAGCGAGGTTTAAACTCCGGACGCAATTTCGACCTTAAGAAAGAAAAGCTTCTTTGCAATCGGTGCCAAAACGTTGTTTGACAAATCAAAGGAAGTACTTGTTGAAACAGTCTGAATGGAGGCCCACAGTACAAACTGAGTCCATACGTGTCCACGCGAACCGCACCATGGGAGACGGAGACAATTCTGGACTCCACGTTTGGTCCAGCTTTACTATTTTTAAACCGCCAACCTCACATTTTCTGTCAGCGGCGTCCCCCCTACGAAATTTCTGTCAAATTCTGGTGGACTCAGAACTTGTAAGTCAAAAACCTTGGAGCTGCGTCAAAAACAAACAACACAACACCGTCGAAAAGAAGAGGCGCCGCCAGGGTTTGGTTTGGTTTGGTTTGTTTGATTTGTGTGTGTGTCTGTCTGTCTTTCCGGTATTCCTTCGGCATTCCTTGAGTATTGAGAGAGCTTTGCCGCCATCTCGCCCTCTCAACGCTCTGAATCTACGACGGACAACATAGCCTCTGCCACCTCTCTCTCTGCATTCCCTTTCCGCGGCGCCGTTCCGGTTCTGTGTTGGGATCTTGAGTTTCTCACTCTGTGCGCCATAACAATCAACAGTTTCAGACACTCCATTCACATCATTCGTCGGAATAACGTATCTTAGAATGGCGACCGCCTTGCATTTTTCCGGAGTTAAAACTCTGTGCCCATCATCCTCAGAAAGATCTTTGCATTTCAATCAACCACTTTTGTCACAAAGTCTTGGTTTCGCAACTTGTGTCGCTTCCAGCAATGGATTCTATGCAAGTGCGAAAGACTTTTCTTGTACGAGCAGGGTTTTGAGAGTCAGTTGCGAGGGAGGGATTGCAGATGTTCTTGAAAAGAAACGGAATGACAATCAAAGCCTTGGCGAGAATGAGAAACAATTGACGTGCGTTATGAAGTTTGGTGGCTCCTCGGTGGCTTCTGCAGAGAGAATGAGGGAGGTTGCTGATCTTATACTCAGCTTCCCACAAGAGAGGCCTGTCGTTGTTCTTTCTGCCATGGGAAAGACAACTAACAAACTCCTACTGGTACCACTTTATATGAACATTACTTGATATGTCATCCAACTTTTTATCCCTTCATTTCTTACCATTAACAACTTACGGTCAGATTGGTTTCTCATGAGTAGGCAGGAGAAAAGGCCGTCACCTGCGGTGTTACCAATGTATCTATGATTGATGAGTTGAGCTTCATAAAAGAATTACATCTCAGGTGAGAGCAGTGAAATATTTTGCTTTCTTCTACAAATTTTTTAGGAAAAAGAATTCAATTTTCGATTTTTTCTCATTGCGCATCACCCTATTCTGAATAGGACCGTGGAAGAACTTGGAGTGGACAGCTCCATCATTTCATGTGAGTTTCTTTTTTCTTACCCGCACTTACAGTTCACCTTTTTTTTTTTTTTTTTTTTTAATTTTTATAAAGCAAATTATGATCTTTGTTTTGTATATCAGCTAGTCCAAAATATTAAGCAGCCTAAAGCTTTGGCTGTACTGTTAGCATGGCTTTGTATACCAATGTTCATTGTAATCCTACTGATTTGTTTGGCTATACCTGTTATCTCTGATTTGCAGCACACCTCCAAGAACTGGAACAACTTCTGAAGGGAATTGCTATGATGAAAGAGTTGACTTTACGAACCAAAGACTATCTGGTTTCATTTGGGGAATGCATGTCCACACGGCTTTTTGTTGCCTATCTGAATAAGATTGGCGTTAAAGCCCGCCAAGTATGTTCTTTTCCAATTTAATTTAATGGTGAAAAGTGCTCTCAAATTTCCAGCTGTAATTTCTGAAGAATTCCTAATTGTTTGTTAGCACCATTATTGCTGATAGAAAATTCATATGATTGTGTGTTTGTTGTTTTGGCAGTATGATGCCTTTGAAATTGGGTTTATAACCACAGATGACTTCACAAATGCGGACATTTTGGAGGCAACTTATCCAGCTGTCGCAAAGAGGTTACATGGTGATTGGATATGTGATCCTGCTATTCCAATTGTTACTGGTTTCCTTGGAAAGGTGTCCCTTCTGGCTAACTTCAACATATCTTCAGTTTTTGAAAATTTCACCCATTAACACCATTGACACTGTTTTTCTGGTTGCAGGGATGGAGATCATGTGCTGTGACTACACTGGGTAGAGGTGGTAGTGATTTGACAGCTACAACCATTGGTAAAGCATTGGGGTTACGAGAAATTCAGGTGAGTTCAAATAATATTTCACTTTTTTTGCCCAATTTCCTAGTTATTCTAAAAATAGCAAAATATGACCTATTTCTCAATGTCGTACAGGTGTGGAAGGATGTTGATGGCGTTTTGACATGTGATCCTAACATATGTCAGCATGCACAACCTGTACCTTATTTGACATTTGAAGAGGCTGCCGAACTTGCATATTTTGGTGCTCAGGTATCAATAACGATGCTAAATATTCATAAATATTCGCAACACTTCTCTTATTAAGTGCCAATATTAGACGCAATGTTTTCTGACTTATTTAATACAGTTTTTTTTAGACTTTAAATACTCAGTTTTCCTCTTCTAATGGTTTGAAGTGCTTTGGACCACCTGTATTTTAGTTACAATTGTTTTTGTTCAACAAGAAAAAAAGAAAACATAATTTAATCATTTTTCTTACCTTCTTGCAGGTCTTGCATCCACAGTCCATGAGACCAGCCAGAGAGGCTGATATTCCAGTGAGGGTTAAAAATTCATACAACCCTAATGCTCCTGGTACTGTTATCACCCATGCAAGAGATATGAGCAAGGTTTGTAAAAGTAGTCTGCTGGAAAATTGAACTCCGCTGTCAAAATGATTCCCACTTCATTGAGTTTTCTTTGTCTCAATTGCAGGCTGTATTAACCAGCATCGTTTTGAAAAGGAATGTGACTATGTTGGATATTGTTAGCACTCGCATGCTGGGTCAATATGGATTTCTTGCTAAGGTGAGAAAACAAATTACCTTTTTTCTGTTGGTTGTCCTCTTGATAACTTGGTGGCTTATATTTATGATATTTTCCATGTAGGTATTTACAACTTTCGAAGATTTGGGCATATCAGTTGATGTTGTTGCTACCAGTGAAGTTAGTATTTCCTTGACACTGGATCCCTCAAAGCTTTGGAGCAGAGAGCTTATTCAGCAGGCAAGTGTATGATCCCATCTTCCTTTTCCTCTGACTGGTCATGATTTTCTGGAATTTACTTGACACATGCATCTAAGCTTTATTAAATTGGCCGCGTATGTTTTGTTATGATTTTTCATTTTATGCATGTTTGGTCTTGTCGGTGCATAGTATGGAAAAATTGTAGCCAATCATGTGCACACATCATATTTGAAATGATGAAGGTTGAGCAATCAATTTTCGCTTGCCATTCTTATAAGATCTCATTGAATACTGTATCTTCCTTGCAGGAACTTGACCATGTCGCGGAAGAACTTGAGAAAATTGCTGTTGTCAATCTTCTTCAGCACAGATCTATTATATCTCTCATTGGAAATGTGCAGAGGTCATCACTGATACTAGAGAGGGTAATGTATTGTGTTTTGCCAAGTAGTTAAAGAATGTCCCCTAATTTGCTTTTGTTCTTTGGTCGACTGCAACTCTTCATCCAACATTAGCTATCTCTTTGTTCGCGTAAATTTGGTTTTAGTATTCACATTTTTGGTCGCATGTGGCAGGCATTTCAGGTTCTTCGAACCATTGGAGTCAATGTTCAAATGATCTCTCAGGGTGCATCCAAGGTACCTCCTAACAACACTAGTTCTCTCTCTTTTCATTGCAGCGGTGAAACGGAAAGCCAAATTTTTTATGCCCTTTTATCTGTCTCTCCTAAATCCCAGTTCATTTTCGACTAGGCATGATTCATGAATGAATAGGGTGCTTACAGTTGATTTCCTATAAAATGTTTATAAATTTGATTTGATCATTTCGGTAGTTGAATTCACCATTTACGTATTACCACTGGCCAGGTTAATATCTCTTTGGTTGTAAATGACGATGAAGCAGAGCAGTGCGTTAGGGCTCTCCACCAGGCTTTCTTTGGAAACGATCTCTTTGAAGTAGAGTGTGGATCGGAGAATGGTTCGGTCTTAGTATCAGAGCAACATTGAAGGAGATTCAATTCTTCGATTCTTTGAAAATGAACCGTTGGTTTACACACCATATGATTTTCAGCTTTAGTCATTAGTTCTACCATTTCTGGGGAAAATATCTGCCCCTTGGGCTGTCAGTTTAGAATTGAAGACGTGGTATCGCCACCCATATTGTATCATGTTGGATAATGTAATGCTTGTGTTGCAAGGAATTAACTAGGAAATAATTATATTTTTGGTGAAATAAAGAATGAGCAAGGGTTATGGTTTTGAAATCCCGTCCCAAGGATCGGGGAAATGTCACCAGAAGTCTCCACAAGAGCAAAGCCCATCTCTAAAATGATGGAACCTGCTTGAGTCTCTAACTATTATTTCCCTCCCAACAGTCTTTGTGATCACCTTGATTGCGGCATGGCAGTCCGTGCAAGCTCGTAAGTTCTTCATCACCACTATTGGTGATCCTTCCGGTGTACTGATCAATGCAAAAGCAATTGCTAAGCGTTCGCTGTGATATTTCAGAGACTCCACTTTTATTTCCTCATCCTCGTTGTGCAGGGCACAGCTTATATCCGGCTTGTATCCTTCCTTTTCCATCTCCTTTGCCAACGTGTCAATCTTGTTCATAATTTTCGCACTCTCTGGGTGGCTCTTGTCATTCACCGTAAACACGTGAGTTTTGTGATTGATTTCCACCCAACTATACGCTGTAACCTTTCTGATTCCTCTCTCCCTCATCGCCTTCTTCACCTCTCTCCCTCATCGCGGAAGAACTTGAGAAAATTGCTGTTGTCAATCTTCTTCAGCACAGATCTATTATATCTCTCATTGGAAATGTGCAGAGGTCATCACTGATACTAGAGAGGGTAATGTATTGTGTTTTGCCAAGTAGTTAAAGAATGTCCCCTAATTTGCTTTTGTTCTTTGGTCGACTGCAACTCTTCATCCAACATTAGCTATCTCTTTGTTCGCGTAAATTTGGTTTTAGTATTCACATTTTTGGTCGCATGTGGCAGGCATTTCAGGTTCTTCGAACCATTGGAGTCAATGTTCAAATGATCTCTCAGGGTGCATCCAAGGTACCTCCTAACAACACTAGTTCTCTCTCTTTTCATTGCAGCGGTGAAACGGAAAGCCAAATTTTTTATGCCCTTTTATCTGTCTCTCCTAAATCCCAGTTCATTTTCGACTAGGCATGATTCATGAATGAATAGGGTGCTTACAGTTGATTTCCTATAAAAATGTTTTATAAATTTGATTTGATCATTTCGGTAGTTGAATTCACCATTTACGTATTACCACTGGCCAGGTTAATATCTCTTTGGTTGTAAATGACGATGAAGCAGAGCAGTGCGTTAGGGCTCTCCACCAGGCTTTCTTTGGAAACGATCTCTTTGAAGTAGAGTGTGGATCGGAGAATGGTTCGGTCTTAGTATCAGAGCAACATTGAAGGAGATTCAATTCTTCGATTCTTTGAAAATGAACCGTTGGTTTACACACCATATGATTTTCAGCTTTAGTCATTAGTTCTACCATTTCTGGGGAAAATATCTGCCCCTTGGGCTGTCAGTTTAGAATTGAAGACGTGGTATCGCCACCCATATTGTATCATGTTGGATAATGTAATGCTTGTGTTGCAAGGAATTAACTAGGAAAATATTAATTAATTTTTGGTGAAATAAAGAATGAGCAAGGGTTATGGTTTTGAAATCCCGTCCCAAGGATCGGGGAAATGTCACCAGAAGTCTCCACAAGAGCAAAGCCCATCTCTAAAATGAATGGAACCTGCTTGAGTCTCTAACTATTATTTCCCTCCCAACAGTCTTTGTGATCACCTTGATTGCGGCATGGCAGTCCGTGCAAGCTCGTAAGTTCTTTCATCACCACTAATTGGTGATCCTTCCGGTGTAGGTACTGATCAATGCAAAAGCAATTGCTAAGCGTTCGCTGTGATATTTCAGAGACTCCACTTTTATTTTATTCTCATTCCTCGTTGTGCAGGGGGTCACAGCTTTATATCCGGCTTGTGTATCCTTCCTTTTCCATCTCCTTTGCCAACGTGTCAATCTTGTTTCATAATTTTCGCACTCTCTGGGGTGGCTCTTGTCATTCACCGTAAACGTGAGTTTTGTGATTGATTTCCACCCAACTATACGCTGTAACCTTTCTGATTCCTCTCTCCCTCATCGCCTTCTTCACCTTGCCAACACTCTCCCATTGACCTGTTGCTGCATAGATATTTGACATGCTGACATAAGCACCTGCATCCCTAAGTTTTTCCATTTTGAAAAGTCGGTCTGCTGCTCTCTCTGCCAATTCTTGGTTCTTATGAATTTTACATGAGTTTAGAACTGATGACCACATAATCTCATCGGGCTCAAATGGCATTTCAGCCATCAATTTCTCTGCTTCACCGAACCTCCCACTTCGACACAACAAATCAACCATTGATGCATAGTGCTCTCTCTTTGGAACAATCTTAGTGTTGCAAGTCAAGGAGTTGAAGTACTGTAGTCCTTCGTCAACAAGCCCGCAGTGGCTACAAGCAGTTAAAACGCTTAGGAAGCTCACTGAATCTGGTTCGAAACCAGACTGAACCATCTGTTTGAATGATCTAAGAGTGCCTTTGCCATCCCCATTTAGAGCATAAGCTGAGATCAGAGCATTCCAGCAGACCCGATTCCTCTTGGGCATCTCTTGAAAAAATTGAAGTGCGTCTTTCATAGAACCACATTTTGCATACATATCTAGGAGTGCGCTTGCAGGAAAAACATTGGATGTGAATCCTAATTTGATCACAGATGAGTGTAACTGCTTTCCCAGCGAGAGGGAAGCTAAACTCGCAGAGGCTCTTAAGATGCTAGCAAAAGTAGCCTGGTCCGGACTAACATGCTCTGCGCATCTCATTGAACAGTTCCAAGCCTTCCTCATGGACCCCGTTTTGTGCGTATCCGGATATCATTGCAGTCCATGGAACTGCACTTCTGTCAGCTAGAGTTGTGAATATCCTTTTGGCTTCCTCAAATCTGCCACATTTGGCATACATGTCCACCAACGAATTTCCGACCTGAATTTCTGAATCAGCTGTTACTATAATCGCCTGGGAATGGATCTGCCGACCCATGTTTAAGTTCAGCGTATTTGATGCGATGCTCAACATGGTTGGAAAAGGAAATTTCTTCCTGTCATGTTTAGTTAACTGTAATTCACGAAAAAGATCGAGAGACTCTTTAAATTGCCCATCCCACACATGAGATGTGATGATTACATTGTAAGAAATACCATCCAACTCTGGCATCTCATCGAAAAGTTTCCTTGCTTCAACCGAAGACTCATGCTTTGAGTAGAAATCGAGCAATGCATTCCCCACGAACACGTTCCAAACAAAATTAGTCTTCACCACAAAACCGTGAACCTGCTGCCCAAAGGCTATGTCGTCTAAATTAATACCGGCACAAAGTACTGCTGCGAAAGTGAACTCTGAAGGCTTGTGACCCAAGTTTTGCATTTGAGCAAAAAGGTTTACAGCCTCTTCATTCAAATTATCTTTTGAGTATCCTGTTATCAATGCATTGAACGTAACATTATCTCTCTCGGGCATTTCCTTGAAGAGCCGACAAGCTAAATCCAGGCGATGCGATTTGCAGTAGGAATCAATCAAGGAATTGCAGACCATGAGGGTGGAAGCATATCCCAACTTAAGGACATGTGAGTGAACTTGAACTACTTGTTCGGTGGTTCCCATGTCGCTGCATCCGGACAGGAGAGTAGCAAAAGTCACATAATCCGGCTTAGTTCCCCACCTGTGCATGTCGGCGTAAAGTTTAAATGCCTCATGGTATCGATTAGCTTGGGAAAAACCACCTATTAGTATGGTCCACGTTACCGCTGTACGGTCAACCATGGTGTCAAGCAACTCTCTGGCCTTGGAAAGATTACCGGAGTTGACGTAACTGGAAATCATCATGTTTGTGGAGACGGTGTTTTTGTGAGGCATTTGGTCGAACAGTTGACGTGCTCGAGACAATTCACCTCGATTGAGGAAGTTCTTGACCAGAAAATTGGACCGGCATGTGTGGGCATCGAAGCCCGTCTTGATGAGACGGGCATCAACGGAGTTTTGGGCGTTGAGGTTGGGATTAAGGAATGGTTTTGGGGAGTCAGGGACTCTTGGTCTTGGAGTTGGAGTTTTAACTTTGAGGAGCGCATTTGCCGATCTAAATGCTGTCATATGACTCATATCATATCGTATGCAATATATCAGCTGTTTTAACCATTAGATGACACGGGGTCACGTTTTCTTCTAACGATGTATGCCGTACATTGTTTGGCTGTGGAGGCTCGTGCTTGTTGTGCTGTTGCGGCGCTTTCGGCGGCGGCGGGTGGAAGAAGCTGTTAGGGTTTGTTTGTGTGTTTCTGTTTGGGCTCCAAACTACATTTTGGGATCTTGGGTTACCACGAAGGTCCATCTTTTGCTTATGTAATTTATGCATTTGGGCCTTTGTTCTGTACTTATTTTGTGTTTTAATAATAAAGTAACCCTCTTACCGAAAAAAAAAAAAAAAAAAAACGAAACAACCATACAACCCAAAGGAAAAGCTTAATTGTTACTTAAAATTAAAAGTGAGAAATATAACATCTACCACAAAATGTCACTGAAATTTCCTCAAATAAACAAAATATCACTTCAATCAGTTAACATGCCTCCGTTGGATATGAATGTCTATGCAGTATGTACTAAAAAGAATCTATAACAAACAAACATTAATTAAGCCACCATCCATGCGTGTATATCAGTATTTCCATACATCTTTCTACTTCCAAAAATCTCTACGAATGTAGCCAAAAAAATATGAGCATTCGATCAGTGTATTGTTGGCGATATCTTTCCCACTGCTTAAGGCAGCTTGAGATTCCTCCCATGTCATGACCACTCATCCAAGCATAACGAGAGAAGTGAAAAAAGCCGAGTTCTGTAATCCACCGGGAAGAAGACCATCTCACTGAAAATTCCACTCGTCAAGGAGAAACCGGGAATACACGGCTGGGTCTGCTCTAAACCATCTAAATTAAGTCCATAAAGAATCAAACACAGGATATTTCTTGGCTAAACATCTGATTTTAAGGAATGCCTCACGCATACAAGGTCATCCAACTTATTGCCATCCATTTTGTAAAGAGAAACACCTTCCATTTGAATGTAGTGGTCCTGCGCCTCCTTCCTCAGACTCTTGAAAGGCAAGACTTCCCATTTATTGTAATTTGAAAACTTTCTTTTATCACTCATGTCTGGAGAGCCCGAGACAGGCCCAACTTTGTCAGCGTCCACATTGCCCGAAACCTTGCAACTACCAACTGTCCCAAGTCACCAGCCTCACCCCTCTTTAATCTCAAGGCAGCTGCATGAGCTCTGCCTATCATTTCCCGACTTGGCACATCTGACCAGTCTTGCTTCCTCTTAGATCTCATGGGAGAATGGATTCGGATAACCTGACACATAAAAATGGTAAAAGTTGAATCATTTGGGGATAAAAATTCAAGCATGAGCCTATAACTTCCATAAATTCTAATAAATAAGAAAATTTATGTTCTTACGCCAAGGCACTCTAGGAGCTGGTAGTATGCCCTCCCTTGAAGTGGATTGTGCCCTTTCCTAGGTGTAGAGAAGTAACGTGTCCTACACCGAAGCACAAACTAGTCAGCCAAAGGACGGCAGACAAACAATGTCATACCTGAATTGCACTGATGATAAAGGCAGGAATATAATTCCTTGCTTGCTAATAATGATGCCTGCCAATAAATAACAACAGCATATCAAGTAAAAGCCAAAAGAAACAAACCATTCAGTATAGCCAGGATCAACAGTGAAACCATATATGTCAACAATGTCGCAAATAGATAGTGCTAGTTCTACTGATTTCATTCCAGTTCCTTTGGCACCCCGGCGGAGCACAATACCTTGGAAAAGGTAAACTGGATTTGTAATACTCTGCAATATGTTAGGATCCAAAATGTTAGTCAGGTCTCGGAAAACAGTGTGTGTTAACTATCTACTCAGATAGAACATATATATTGGCCTCCTTAGATGCGATCTTCACCTTGATCATTGCATTAAAGTCTTTGTGCGTAACACTTTTGATTATAAGTACCTCATCAGCTGCACAAGAAAGGGAAAGTTGCAAACATGGAAACATACTTCGAGTAAATTTTCTGAAGAGCCATGAAGATTTAGGATTTCTCATATACAACAAACAAAAATTAACTTTGCCACACAAACGTAAGAAATAAAAATTAAAACACATAAATTACTTAGAAGCATACCGGACCCATTTAGAATGGAAACCATGTTTCGAGCAGCACCCCTTACAACAAGGCGAAAATCCCTCTTCATACCAACATACTTGGCATATTTCTACACATATGAAAGACTAGTTGAGAATTTTATCAACTAAATTACTGCCTATTATTCCATAGGAATCTATTGCCTATAAAAGGAGTAAAACTGAAAAATAACAATATACTTAAGAAGCTGTGTTTCCCAATTAGAACCACAGAAGAACCAATGGCTGTCCGTCATGAAAAAATAAATCCATATATTCACCGATGATAGGAAACAAACATGCTATTTTACCTCATTAACAGGAGCCTCATTGTCCCTTATAACAGCATCATGACTATCAATCTCTTTTCCAAACTCCGTCATCAAAAGATCTCCTGAATTTCCAACAACCGCACATGTGCGAAATTGCCGAGGATGAAAAGGTGGCTTTGCTGGTAGTAACACATTAAGATGTTCTTCACAAAGTGTCTTATTGTAGCATTTCTTAGTTCCCCTACAACCAAAAAATACATAGGTAAACAGATGGACTTGATGTTTGTAGGCATTTGTATTCTATAATCTATGCAGAAATCAAGCACGGGTTTGGAAGAGATAGCATGTAGACAAACGTACAATTGTGCGATCCTTTGTGCTGCATACTCCTCCCAACCTTTAGGCCGAACATCTAGATACTCCCTTGTCAGTACTGTTGTCATGTTCCGGTACTGCATCCATCCTTAAAAAGCATCAGTTCAAAGAATCGGCTTAAGGGGTTAATTACACTTAGACAGATGATAGAAGAGAGACAAACCTGCTCCCACAAAAGAAGTGCCTCACAAATTGTAGTGGTACTCGAGTGCCTCAAACTTTTTAAACTGCTCATTATACTGCAATTCGAATCTCATGTAATTAGCAATCGGAGACTAGACTAGTATCAAAATTCAAAATTCAAGATGAAATTGTGGTGACAAGGTAAAGAGTAGATGACGGACCCAGGTGCTGTTAGTTCCTTCCGGGAACTTAAGAGTCAGATTACAATGGTCGATAATGTGTGCAGTCAGACCAAGCCCTCTGTTTGCCTACATTTACCTTAACCTTTGTAAGAATTCATACCCAACACAAAAACACACAAAAATTACAGAAAAATGAAGAAAGAAAGGAACAAAAACAGAATTCTTGGATCAGTATAATGCAAAAATATACAAAATTGAACTGAATCGACAACTTGAATTAGTGATTTAAAGGAACAGATTTAAATTTAAACAATGGATTAACAGGGGGCAGATCCGGTGAAAACTAAGAAACTAACCACGCATTGCTTCACAGTAGACTGGAATTCCGATAAAACCCGAACATCACGTTGGGTGTGGAGATCTAATTTCTGATTACCTGGATACATAAAATTAATGATAAAGAAATTCAATTACGAGTGAAACACAGTGTTTAGTTTTGATTTAAAGGAAAAGATATGAACGTCAGTGAGGGAGGACCTGCGAATAAAGAGGATTGGATGGCGAAAAGGAGAAGAGAGAAGAAGGCGACGGAGCAAACCAGGTAGAGAATAGTGGGCCGCCGGTTGAGATTGTTGCTGCTCGACGCCTGTCTGTGACTTCTCATTGCTCTACTACTGCTCGAACGAACAATAACAGCAGCAAGTCTCTAATTCTGCTTTAGCTCGAGTAGGCCACGCGGAGAGAGACCAGGAGAGTGAGGGCTGGTTTGGTATTGCTGTCGTTTGAAAAAAAGCTGCTGTGAAAATAATTGGTTGTGTTGTGAGAATAAGCGATTGTGAAATAAAGTAGCAGAGTGTTTGATAAACTTTTTTGTAAAAGTGCTTTTGGAAAAAAAAAGTAGGTCTTTTCATTAAAGGAGCACTGTAGCTCCGTGTGCTTTGAAAAAAAGCCAGTTTTCCAAAGCTGCAAATAGCAGCTTCAACTTTTTCCTTTAATTTCAGCTTATTCTCACAGCAGCTTCCAAAATAAGCTCTTTTTTTTCAGTTTACCAAACACCTAAAACCCTTACAGTTTTTTTTCATAGATGTTTTTTTTTAAGTACCGCACTCCCAAACCAGATCTGAGACTATCGACATTCGACCCCGAGCTTCTGATTCAGGGAAGCATATACCCAGCCAAGGAGACCAGTTGAATTACATAGTTTTTTTTTTTTTTTTTTTTCAAATTTTCAACTTTAAAAATCAATAAAAATAGTTTAATACCTAATAATGTTAGGATTTTATTCAAAGGTCTTAGAACATTTTGTTTAGCTACCATGCAAAATATTTTCATCAAACTAAAAATTGTAATTTTTTTTATAAAAATTGTGAGTTATAGCCTACGTTTCAATTCGATTTTCAGAAATTTTAAGATATTTATTATAAGCCAAAACTTGAGTCACTCTCGTCAACATTTTCCTTAGCTCCCCACAAAAAATTTCCCAAAACCAAAAATTTCAATTTGTTCAAAAAAATGTGTGAACTATATAACCTACTTTTTTTTTGTGGAAAAAATGCAAATTTTTTTATTTTAGCAAAATATTTTTCGTGAGTATTAAGGAAAATATTATATGGCATTTGGAATCGATTTTAGGTTTTTTGAGCAATAAAAGTATATTTAGTAGAATATTTGAGTCAAAAACTAAAAAAATAAGTGAAAGATATAGTAGTGAGGACCAAAGCAATGTCAAAATGGGATTCGTCTCATTCTGCGTGCACAAAATCCGTCTCGTTTTGCATGCCAGAAGCCAACCCCATTTTTTGTGAGCAGAGCTTGCCTCGTTTTTGAAACCACAAAGCAGGACTTTACACTATGTTTAGATAAGGGAAATAAACTTGGAATTTGGGTAAAAATCATAATTTATAAATTGACATACACTAATTCCCTTGTTGGATTCATAAGCATAAAACTTTAGAATTTTCGCGTGGAAAAAAACTTGGAATTTGGGATCTCCAATTCTCAAGTTTATATTCCATGTAAATAGGTTTCATTTCCCAATTCTATGAATGAGCATTTAAAAATAACAAATTTCGTGTTCAATTCTATTGTTCTTTTAGGTTTACGAAACAGAAAAATTCTCAAATTCTAGAAAATAAAATCTCGTCGTTTCAATTTCCGTCATTTTAAAATTTCTTAGTAATCTTAAATTTCTTCATCCAAACATAGTGTTAGGGAAATATTTTGCGTGGGGGTTAAGGAAAATGTTGCAAGACCTTTAGATGTGATCATAACA